AGTTTATTTTTATGCCAGGAATACAATTATATTTTACTTGTATACGTAAATCACACAGGCACACACACATGCACACTCACACAAATATACATACATATATATATATATATATATATATATATATATATATATATATATATATATATATATATATATATATATATATATATATATATATATCACACAAATAAAAAGAAAATTTTACTGCACTTGAGGTTTTAAAAAATATTCCTGAAGTGGAACTAGCCTTGAAAACATATGGAAGGACATCAATGAAAAAAAAAACTTACTGCCATCACTTACCTAAATATCAATTTGTTTCTCAAGACCACGGGCCACAATTTCTCCAGGGGCCACAATTTCTCGAGGGGCCACAAATTCTCGAGTCCAGGGGGTGACCGCAAGTGTGTGGAAGGTGTCTCCCCTTGTCGCCTTATGATGCAGGTTCGACAACTCCGTTTCTAGTTTCGTTCGCACGTGTAACTTCAATATTGGCGACAACTCTCGGTTATTTTAAAGCACGGTTAGACTAGATATTTTATATTGAACTAAATCTTTGCACGTACTTATTTAGTGTGTATAAAACCTTCAAGTTTGTAGTTCTATTGTAGGTTCAGTAGAATGAAATATACAGGTTCCTACCCACTAAACTTGTTAGTCTTAGCCTGTGTTAAGTTGTTTCAACTGTCGCTGTGTACCCAGATTTTAAGCTTGAGTGCCCAGTGTCCTGTGGGTTAAATAGACCTCCGTGTGAAGAGCGCCCGTGGATCGGCGAGCCCCGGCTCGTGCTCCCACCCACGCCAAACGTGGAGACACGATCTGGACACGAGGGCTGGCTTGCCACATTGGCACAGCTGCAAGTCTTTGTGTCTGGAACCGTTTCTGTTCGCTGCTCAAGTTTATAATGTACTTTGTAAATACCAAATTAACGTCATATCTCAACCCAATAACTTTTAGTGTTATAGGTTTGATATTTTCTAGGTCGCCACGGGAAAGGGATAGAAGATAATTACTTTTCTCCTAAACCCTTTAAAGAAGTCATTATTATGTTATGGTTATTTTTATTTCTTGAAAAAGAGAAATTATACACAAGGAGTACTATTATCCTTTTAAAAGAAGAGTTATTCTGCATAATGACTAGCTATTATTCTGGAAATAAAGGGTAACTGAATTCGTATCGCCTAGACGACATTTATCGTTAACGGTTTGAGAAAATGGCGAATTGATGATACAAAATGGCTGAATTCGATGGCAGCACGAGAATTGAACGGTTTTTTAAAATCACGAGGACTTCCAGTCCATTGTCACGTGACCCAAGTCGTGTGGGTATTTTTTACGGAGTATGGTCTTTTGTCGTGGCTTTAGCGAAGTCAATATTTAAACTGTAGCCAATTTTAGACTGCTGTAGAAATAAATAGTTTCCTTACTTTCCGATCGTGTGGGCCAATTTTATCAAATAAAATCGGAATGTTTTCCGTGATTTTTAAAAATTCTAATTTTCTGAAATACAACTTGTTTTTTTATCCGTATCAGCCTGGTAATGAGGTAGATGAACTACTTAGCCTACTTTTGATGATCGTGTGGTCTTTCAAAACCAACCAGGCGAAAATGCCTAGACAAAACATCTCGTCAAACTGATCTTGTCAAAAAAAAAAAAGTGAGAGACAAACGGACCCCGTGAGTTCAGCTGCCTACAAAAGGGCTTCAGACAGCACTTCAGTTCTCCCAATATGTTGTCGGCCATTTTGCAGAATTCGGTTTTTTTTTTTTTTGGAGCTTTATCACGAAAGCCCTTTAATGAGGCCGTTTTGTCACGGGCCGTTTTAATGGCACATCGTAAATGACAGAAGATAGTATGACAAACGCAGTAGCACGGCAGAAATATTGAAACGAATTTCGTTTTTTTTTCTAATCTCGACATCATATTTTTTAAGGCAAATTTTTAAAATGTTTTTTAGGCTGCTCTTCATTTATTGAATTTATTTTAGGCTCGATAAGGTCCATTTATTCAACCATTAAAATAGACAGGCTCGGATTAAGTTCATGATAGGTGAGGTTGTGAGAGATGAAAATACGATAGGTTAGATCTTGACAAGTGAGGGCATGACGTGTGAGAATAATGACAGGTGAGACCATGACAGGTGACACCATGAGACTTGAGAATAATGACAGGTGAGACCATGACAGGTGACACCATGAGACTTGAGAATAATGACAGGTGAGACCATGACAGGTGACACCATGAGACTTGAGAATAATGACAGGTGAGACCATGACAGGTGACACCATGAGACTTGAGAATAATGACAGGTGAGACCATGACAGGTGACACCATGAGTCTTGAGAATAATGACAGGTGAGACCATGACAGGTGACACCATGAGACGTGAGAATAATGACAGGTGAGACCATGACAGGTGACACCATGAGACGTGAGAATAATGACAGGTGAGACCATGACAGGTGACACCATGAGACTTGAGAATAATGACAGGTGAGACCATGACAGGTGACACCATGAGACTTGAGAATAATGACAGGTGAGACCATGACAGGTGACACCATGAGACTTGAGAATAATGACAGGTGAGACCATGACAGGTGACACCATGAGACTTGAGAATAATGACAGGTGAGACCATGACAGGTGACACCATGAGTCTTGAGAATAATGACAGGTGAGACCATGACAGGTGACACCATGAGACGTGAGAATAATGACAGGTGAGACCATGACAGGTGACACCATGAGACGTGAGAATAATGACAGGTGAGACCATGACAGGTGACACCATGAGACTTGAGAATAATGACAGGTGAGACCATGACAGGTGACACCATGAGACTTGAGAATAATGACAGGTGAGACCATGACAGGTGACACCATGAGACTTGAGAATAATGACAGGTGAGACCATGACAGGTGACACTATGAGACGTGAGAATAATGACAGGTGAGACCATGACAGGTGACACCATGAGACTTGAGAATAATGACAGGTGAGACCATGACAGGTGACACCATGAGACTTGAGAATAATGACAGGTGAGACCATGACATGTGACACCATGAGACGTGAGAATAATGACAGGTGAGACCATGACAGGTGACACCATGAGACTTGAGAATAATGACAGGTGAGACCATGACAGGTGACACCATGAGACTTGAGAATAATGACAGGTGAGACCATGACAGGTGACACCATGAGACTTGAGAATAATGACAGGTGAGACCATGACAGGTGACACCATGAGACTTGAGAATAATGACAGGTGAGACCATGACAGGTGACACCATGAGACGTGAGAATAATGACAGGTGAGACCATGACAGGTGACACCATGAGACTTGAGAATAATGACAGGTGAGACCATAACAGGTGACACCATGAGACTTGAGAATAATGACAGGTGAGACCATGACAGGTGACACCATGAGACGTGAGAATAATGACAGGTGAGATCATGACATGAATAGTGACTATATATTCAGCTAGAAAATACAAGGACCAACTGTTTTCTTAATCCCGACAAAAATCTCTCTCTCTCTTAACTGATAAACAAAGTCCGACTAAAAAATGAATTTAGAGCAAAACAAGCACACCCTAACCCAGCTACTGTAATTAATTGAGTGTTTACATAATCAGAGTGCTACTCTTGTTTCTATTCAAGCCGCTCTTCGTGCTGCAAAAAAACAAATTAAATCTCTGGGGCCTTTATTTATATCCAAATCCATCCTGGCAATTCACATCAGCTCGTGCGATGCACGTGCATCTCAAGAAATATTTGTTTTTGTTGCGTGGGCGTCACACGGTGGAGGGAGGGTAACGATCGCACTGGGTTACTTACTCCTCCATAAAAGATACGGGGGGAGTGGTAGAAATGACACCAAGTAAGGCGGAGGAAGGCGAGATGGACGACACCAAACGCATTTTAAAATCTATTTACCAGAGGTTTTTTAATGTCTACTGCTCTCAGGGGTAGCTCATAAAATCTCGTACACAATATAGCGAACAATGCTTTACTTTTACTAAAAAGTTTATTTTGGAGGTTGTTTTTTTTTTAATTTTCAGCGCATTCAAAAGCTTTGTATTCTAAAGGTCTGCTTTTTAATCTAATTAGATTTTTAATTAATGATTAAAATTAATTTAAAGATCCCTATATTCAATGACACAAGGGAGGTAACAAGATTTAGCTCGATGAGCTGTATTTACGGAACGTTTCATACCTGAGTGAGGCCAGACTAGAGTAAAGGCAGATGGTTGTCGAATGGTGTACGAGTTGGTATTTGGGCAATGATTTTTAATCTCACAGTGGCGGCTTATTAAAAATAGCATAATTAAATTACTAAATATTGTGCTCATTTTTAAAACTTACACTTGTATACTGACTTCTATTCAATAGGCCTACATAGCTGAATGTAACTCGTGTAATAAAACCTTTATAATAATAAAAAATTGTATAAACACTGAAAATTTACCTCATCCCTTTTTGTGAAATCATCAGTAGCTCATGAAATTTCAAAACTTAATATTATTATTAGATTTATTTTATCAAAAGTAGTAAGCCAGCTTTTATGGCTCTTTTGTATTGATCTTTTAAGGTGAGTTAGTACCAACAGACTCCATTGAAGTAAAATAAATGAACTGTTCGATTTGTGTTGCTAGCATCAGCAGTAATAATTGCCTTGCCTCCATTTCAACTATAGCATATAAATTGTGGTCTACTTTCCTTCCCTCTACCCACTCTAAAGGAAAAAAATAATTAAAAAGATCAAAGTAATTAAACACTGACTTTAAAAATTGCTCAAAATAATATTCATAGAATAATACAAATTCTAATGACAATTTATATGGTGCTTTCATTGCCTACCATTCTCAAGTCAATCTCTTCAATCACGAATTATTGCTAGCTAAAAGATGTGAAGATAGTGATAACATCTAATCTATACTCAAACACAAGACAAATAACAAAAAGGAAACGCCCACATCATCAAAAACACTATATAATATTCAACTTACTTTATTTTTTTTAGCTTACATGACAATTATGCACTAGATGGACAAAATAAGATTGCCTAAATCTTGTAGACTGGTTGCTATGCAACCACTGACAAACATACCCACATTCTCACACACTTGTGCTCAACAATTCTGTTATTCTGTCAAACATCTATGTTAGTTGCCATCAAACTGGTTTAAAAAATATGTATTACATAGACAATGTTTTGGAATAAAATATGCTACCTTGACCAAAGATTTGAAAGGAGGAAAAAAATGAACCACCTAAAACATTAAGTGTATTGAACTGGTCTTTGATCATAATCTGAATACTATACATCTGCTGCAAAGGTTTATTGTGTTAAATTTAAATACTGCTTAAGTTTAACTATCAAGTTTGTTATGTCCATCAGCCTATTAGATTTTATGAGTAGCCTATGCATTCATGTCTAACCAACAAAAAAAAAAAAACATTAACAAGCAGGAATGCATTAAACTTTACCTAGCAAAGAACATTTTAAATAAAATTCTCATGACATGAATTTTTCAGTTAAGTTGTAATCCACTTTTAAAAGTGCCAACTCTAAACTTTAGGAAAATACACTATAAAGCCTAATATCAAATAAAATGGATACTTTCTGGTTATAGGGAACGTGATCCTAAATTTTGATTCACCTAATTTCATCATTTTGATTTTTTATTACCTTAACACTGACATTTAAAAACAAAGTTAAAATAGTGCTTTGCAAAAAAGACAACTAAAAACAAATTGCTTTCAAAAAATGACAATAATTATGAAATAGAATTGTCTTTTTGGTAATAAAATTTGGGATGAATACCTAAACTTGGTGGCTTAGCGTTGGTTAACTATGTGTTAGAAGCTTGATTGCCCAAATTTAAAACTCCCTTCTATGGTAACGATCTGGATCATAATAGGATGTAACAACCACACGATTGGAGAACTTCCTTCCAGTAAGTGCTGCTTGAGCTTTCTGACACTCTATTATTGAATTGAACTCCACAAAAATCTGAAAGACATTTGATTTGCAGACAAAAAGGTACACAACTCATTAAATCAAGCAGATAATATTATAAGCACTAAACAGATAAGGGTTAAAAAATACTAGTTAGTAACTAGGTTAAAATAAATGTGATGCCATGTGAATGTTTTAGATAATACATTTAAATGTACAAAAGGTGAAACTGATCAAATACTTTTTTTAAAAAACAGACTAAATAAACTAAAATTAGAATATTACATCCATTTGTTAAGTAAGGTGCAAGTTCAAAATAGTAAAAGAAATACCTTGCCAACACCTGGGACCTCAACGCCTTTAATTGGACGAGGGATTTCCAAGCTCATGACTACACCATACTTTCCACATTCTTCTTTAACATCTTCAACAATGTCTGGGGGTAAATGTATGGATCCATTAGACCATAGTTTTTAATATATTTACAAGTTGATCATAAATTTTTTTAAATAAAGTTTTAAGATTATGAGAATTTAATTTTTAAAACTCATATATTTCAAAGACATGTAATGTTGACTAGTGGTACTAATGTAAGTTCCTAACACCCCCCCCCCTCCCCATTATTTTGTTAGCAAGTGGGAGAGTGTCTGTTTATATGTAACATAGAGAAACTATTCCCAGTATTTTAAAGGTGTTTAACAAATTTCAAGGACATTTTACAATATAATGAAACCAACATTATAAATGATTGAACCCTGACATGTTGTTGTAACCAAATTAAGAGTGGGCGATTGGCCTTTTATTATTGTTAATTTTACACATTAAGTCTATAATAATTCTCCATACTTTGATCAAAATGTTTTTAAATGTGTCAAACTCAGTAAGATGTTTTTTCCTCAAAATAACCAGGATAAAATTTTTAGATAGTGCTAGTAGAATCGCGACTTTAATTTATAGCAAATTGAGACTCCAGAAAACTAAAGAGAAATCTATTTACCTTCATATTCTTCCTCATCAACCAGCTCTTCAGGTGTGATCATGTTCATCAGACACAAGACTTCTGTGGCTGGTCCAGCTCCTTGATTCAAGTTCAGACCTGGAACTTGAAGCTGGACTGGAGCTTGCTATAAAAAGTTATGTTAAAACAACTTAACTTTTTTACCAAAGAGAACATGATAAATTCTACCAGCTATCTTGCCTAGATAATCATTACATATTTACATTTGTCTCTTCCAAGTTAAAAGTCTGAGGCTTTTAAAACAATACGCTCAACCAGAAAAGTTATTTTAAAAAATCCAGTGGATTTCCACACATGGAAAGTTACTAAATTTTTTCATATCTAAAACAATAAACAGAATTTTTAAATTTATACCACTGCAAAAAGCAAAATGTAATTTACTGAGGTATTGATTGCATTGCTTACCTGTTGAGCATTCTTTGCTCCTACGCTTGCTCTTTGTACAATAAGTTTTTTATCTCCCAGTTGCATGCCATTGAGTCCTGCACAAGCCTGCAAGCAATTGACCAATAAAACAATGTAAGATTTATCAAAGGAATTAAGTATTTTTTTAAAAATGCAATTAGAAAGCAATTTATTGCTTTAACTTAAAATTTTCTGTGTACTATTGGATAACAAAAATTAGATCACTAACTAGTCTGTGTCAACCCTGTATTGCCATGTGTGATTATATTTTTGCTGTTACTATTTGTACTAATAAAAAAACAATTATGTAACTGAAAAACAACCAACCTGATCTGTAACAGAAACATCAGCATACTCGCAAAAAGCAAATCCCTTGGTAAGACCAGTTGCACTATCCTTGACAAGATTAAATGCACTGAGAGGTCCAAATGAAACCAGTAACTCTTTTACCTGAAGACAAAAATAATTAACAAGGTCAGAAAAACACCAGGAAATGTTAAAAAATCCAACAAAATCATAAAACCTAACTTATTTGGCTATAAGAAAAGCTATGGTTAACTAAATAGCAGCATTTAAATTTCGAAACTCATAATATGTTAAAATGAATATATCTTATAATTAAAAAATTAAAATATGGTAGGATTATACTTACCTGTTATTAGCCCTATAAATCTAGACATTAACAAAAACTACATACAACTGACAAATTATCAACTAAACTTACCTTGCATTTGAGGGGGCCTTCAAACAATACTAATAAATATTTATTTGCAAGGAAGGAATGTAGTATTAATGACACAAAATTTTGCTCTCAAATTGACAACTAATTAACAATTTCACCCAAAATTTAGTTCGGAAGCTGAAGAAATGTTTAGATGGCTGCTTTCTTCAAGTTTTATTAAACTCACTCCTTACGCGGATATACATATGTGATAACACTTGCCTGTGTCCTGCAGGGCCACACACAAAAGTAAGATTGTAGTGGTAATACAATGTAGTGGATAAGTTAACGCACTTTCAACCTCTTCCCTAAGCTAGGGAATGAAAGGGGGAAGAAACAAGAAGAAAAACGTTTAGAGCCTGCATTTTTTAAAAATAACATGTCACAATATGTGCCTGGCTTGTTCGTTTTCAAGAATCTGCTTGTTTAAGCTTTTATTTCTCAATATATTAAAGAGGATCTTTTTAACATTCTTTGTTACAGACATTGTAATCTCTAAAATGTTGCTAGAAACTAATTGTGAAAATACCTGTTACTGAAAAAATTATTTGCTTTTTATTGCTAAACTTCCTGTTAAAAAAGAATATTGAAACCTGTAAAAAAAATGATGGTCTTTGGAGAAAAAAACTTGAGCTGAGCTGGCACTGGTTTTGCTGAAAAAAAATCCTGAAAAATCCTTCCTTTTCACTGCTTTTACAATCTAATGATATGGAATGACATTTTTTTGTAATGGAAAAGTCCTTGAAGACACAAGAAAGTGTCAAATTTTAAGTTTGAAAAAAATCAGCAGTCACCATTTTTTATCAGCATCTGACAAGAGATTTAAGTATTTGCCATCTGGTAATTTAATAATTTAAAGACTGAATTCACACAAAGATGATGATCATGACACTGCTTATTACTTAACAATCTAAAACGTAAGGTGTTCCGGAATGAAGATGGGGAAAAAATAGAAAGTTGAAATACTTTGCACTACAAGTTGCCCTAAAAAAATACTGCAATAACAGGTAAATCAATTCCCATGCATTCAAGCCATCAACTTGATATATTTGCTGAAAAAAATTGCCTGTGGAACCAATCTATTCTCTTTATGCAATTTCATCATCACAAGTAGACCAAACATAAAACTATGCTTTTAAGATGATTTGTGCAGGAAAGGAAAGGAGAAAGTGAGGAAATAGCCTATAAAATGGCTAAATAAACACACGAAGAAATACAGCTCAGAAACCTATTGAAAAGCAGTTCTCTAAACAAAAATACACAATTTTCTTCCCAATACTTGTCCTTCTACCCACATGTCTGGCCAAGACATCTTTTCCACATTGGTGACATCAGACTCTGTAAAATGACTCATCCGAAAATAAAAATTTCCGCAGCAACAAAATTCTATATTTACCTGATCTTCATTTAAATAACTTGGCAACCCTCCAATAAATATTTTGTGTGCAGAATCTTGGACAACTGTTGATACAACACCTGAAAAAAATTATCAAAACACTGATATTATAAATGAATATAAAACATTTTAAATATAAAATTCAAATAAAGTTTGATTTACAATGTGATGTGCATAAAAATGTCATGTGTGCATGTCATGGTCAACACTACTAGATCAGATCTATCAAAATCAGTATAAACAATTTTTTTAAATTGTACACTGTGTAAACAGAATTAAATTTTACCAGTAAAACTGATTTTTAAAAATATATCCTAGCAAATTACCTGGTACAGCTAAAGTAGGATTTTCAGCCATGCCAGGAAGAGGCTTGTAATCACTTGGTCTTCTTATTTTGAGGGGTTGTCCTTGAAAACTAATACCATCAAATGCAAGAGCTTGTGTAGTCTCATCCACAGACCGAAACTGTAAAAATATTTTATTGAGGTAGTAGTAATAAATGTGATAACATTCATAAATAATCCAAAAGGTTTCTAGAGAGTTCAATTAAGCAATCTGGAGATATCTGTAAAGGATACATCACTCAGAGAAAGTAAAGAACAGACCATATGAACCCCTCATTCACTGAGGTCATAGAAAAAGGTAACTGAAACTTCATGTGCCCTATTAACCATCAATCTTAAGAGTAGCTGAACAATAGCAGCAAAAATTAAAAATAATGTTAATGCCATGGAAATGGGAGGCTAAAGAAAGCTACTTCGAATTTGGTACTAAGATAACATCTCCAATAATATAGTAATGTTCAGCTGACAATTACTAAAAACATTTAAAATAGCACAGCCAAGTCACACTGTCATCAATACTGCAGAAGAATTTCCTAAAAGCATAGTATCAAAAGAACAGTGGGAAAATAAACTCAAAGAATGAATGAGTGAGACAGTAAAAATGACTGAAAACAGAGAGCTGGTCAAAAGGACACTTGTGGTACCATAATGGTTTACCAAACTGATGGATAGAAACTATATAAAGAAAATAAATACACCATAAAAAAAAACATTTTTTCAGAAATTACTTATCCCACCAAACCTTCCCATCAACACAGACTTAGGCACTCAAAGATATAATTTAATTGAATGATTTATAATTAACAACACAACACAAGCTTTTGGCTTACATGAAATAACCAAAGAAATTTTTAAGTCACTTAAATGTTTAACATGTTCTGAGTTTTATAACCCTTTTAATTTTAAACACTGCACCAAAGTTGTCCAAAATAAGCTTCTTTAGTGAGTTTTTATAAAAGATAGCCAAACTATTTTAATTTAAAATAATGCAAAACCATAAAACATTACCTCAAGAAAAGCAAAGTTTTTGTCTAAATTAATTTGAACTGCTATTACAGGGTTACCCTCTGCTTGAGCAAGACCTGTAATACGCATTTGGTGGTTGAAAAAGTCCATCATAGCTTCCTGAAATTTGAATATTTATAATGAGCAAAATTAAAACATTTAATCAGTCTTTTTAATTAATTATTTCAACTATTTTTATATAATTTTATGTAGAGGAATATGTTTAACTATTCCTGTAATAAAAAATCCATCAAGCGTTTGTAAACAAAAGTATCTAATTTATATTAAGAATAAACAGCTTCAGTAGATTCTGATTATCTATTGTTTCCCATGGCAGCGTGGCTGCACTCACATCAGTCATCCCAAATGGAATACCGCCCACATATAACCTGCGAGCTTGACGGCTGAGGGAGCTGCCAGCATAATTGACACTGGCATCAGCACTAGTAGGCCCAACTGCAGGGGCAGTGGTAGGCTCTGCCGGAATCTGGCCAGAAGCTAGAGGGAAACAAGAGATAAGAAAATTTGCCCTAAGTCTCAGCAATAAAAAATATTGTGCCATGCCTGAAGTAAAATACACATTTTTTAAAAATAAAATCAAACCCAAAGTTGCATAGTAAAATCTCAGGTCAAAGCAAAGATGTTTGTATTGTACTTCAAGCTTGGCACTGAACAATAGACCAGTCAACAAACACTCACGTCAGTAACCCCAAAAGGAATATTTCCCACATAGAGGCGGCGTGCTTGTCTACTTAGCGTGCTCATACCAGGAACCTGAGTAATGTCTGCTAAGGCCACAGATGAGAATACCTGAGCTACAGGTTCCTGTGGGATCTGGCCGGCCGCTACAATAAGCAATAACAGTATATGGCTATACTAGCACACCAATTCTCTTAAGTTCCCACTATTCTATAAAATCTAAATTTACTTTCCTTTAAGGTGAACTTGAGGGTAACTCACTTTTTAAATTTAGGATACTGGTACTATAAATTAAAGTGTCAATATTAAATAAGCAGTAAAAATTATACCTTGCATAGCTTTATACTGTGCTGGTGATATATGTTCATAGCCAGGAGGTGGAATATCCCAATATTTGTAGGGTCTCTTCTTTCTTGTTTTCTTTGGTGATCGACTACAGGAATATACACATAGTTTTTAACTTGTCATATAAAATCTTAGAAATATATTTAAAAAATTTCTAAAATGAAGTTAATACCTCCGGGATCTTTTAATTTTACGATCTCTTGACCTAGACCTTTTGCGATCGCGATCTCTGCTTCTTGATCTTCGACGAGGTGAACGGGATCTTTTTCTGTCTTTGTCGCGTTTTCTTTCTGAATGTGTATTTTCCTCTAAGAAATAAGCATGATAACCAGAGTAAGATAAACATCAAATAACATGATTCGGCCTAATAAAAACGATTCTTTAAAAAAATTGACTATTCCTTCTATCATCAATTCTTCCATTGTATTGTACAATGGCATAATGATGCCATAACAAAGGATGCCATTGTTTATGTCATGATTACATGGGAAAACCAAATTGTTTTTGGTGTTTTATTTTTATTTTGATCTAGTGCCGAAAATATTAAAACATCAAAAACATCCAATCTTAAGTAGGCCTTAAGTCCGAAAAGAAAACCAAACAGACAGGATTTATAACATTATTTTTACGAAAAGACTAGTCGGAAAAAGCTTTTGCCCCCTAGGCTAGGCTGGCACACAGAAGACGCAAAAACGCAATGACCTTAAAAAGGCTAAATATGAGCTGAAATTACCCATAAGTGCTGAGTAATGGGCTGAAACTACCCTAAACAGCTGTGCAAAGGGCTCATATTACTCTTTTAGCCTTATTCTTCTAACAAAGCTAACTGTATTGTGTGGCTCAGCGGTTGCGCTTTGGGCGGATCGTCAGGGAGATAGAATTACTAAAGAGATCTACCCATCTAGTCTGTAAGTAAAGTATAAAAAAATTTTTTAAAGTATTTTAATAACATATGTTAATCCCTTCAGGACAAATGAACAACGAACATTTAGATTAGATGACAAGAAAAACCAGGTCAATGTAGCCTAGTACTAGTATTACTTGCTAAACCAGAAGCATGGCCGAAATTTTTTTAAAGTATTTTAATAACATATGTTAATCCCTTCAGGACAAATGAACAACGAACATTTAGATTAGATGACAAGAAAAACCAGGTCAATGTAGCCTAGTACTAGTATTACTTGCTAAACCAGAAGCATGGCCGGTTGCTAACAACAACATGGCATACACGCCGGACGATTTTTCGTCTTAGTTTCAGTGACCTTCTTAGAATTACTGTTTAAAATGTTTACCACGAGCAAAATCGCTGGGTTTTCACGTTATAAAAAACTCATAGGTGGCAGGGTTATATATACCAGAAAAGCATTTTAAAATTTGGTTTTGAGAATGGAGACTAAATTCAAAAGTTGGTTTCATTAAAATGGAAATTTGAAAATATCAACGGTGTATGTACAAAAATGAGCAAGAGCATAAAGGATTTTTTAGTTTTATCAGTCTATGAAAAAAGAAATATAAAATAGGCCCATTGTGAGTAGTTTTTTTTATAAGACCGGCGTTCATATCACAACCAATTTTTTCATTTTTTAAAAACCGTGTGACAGCTATTATTTGGTTCATCAACAGTGAGGAACTCACTGCATAACCGATTCATGGTTTGCCGTTGCCTCAAACATAAGAGTGATATAACATGTCATGGAGAGGTGTGTCATGGCAGTGAGTGACAAATAATAAATTAAGTAGGCCTAATTGGTTTAAAACGAACAAAAAACTTCAAAATTAGTGTCTAATGGATTAAACATGGATGTCTATTATTCAGTTTAAATAAAAAATAGAGTAGGCCTAAACCAAAATTTTAGATTTAGTGAGAAAATCTATTGTAGCCGCACTGCATCTTCTTGATCTTGGGGCTAGAATCTGGCTTATTTTTAACTACCCCGTGAATGATTTTTTAAATATTTAATGAGCCTCTCGAATATCTTTAAGACTTTTCTCACAGGGGTCCATTACGGATGAGGAAAGTCCTGACTGGCAAAGCCAATGGACACCAGCGAGAAAAGTCTCAAAGGTATTTGAGAGGTGTATAAATTCATTTAAAAATCATGCACAGCGTAGTTACAATTAATATGGTTATAAAATCCTGTCTATCTGGTTTTTTTCGGACTTTACTAAAGATTGGATGTATTTGATGTTTATAATATTTTCGGTAACTAAATAAAAATTTAAAAAAAAACAAAAACAATTTGGTTTTCACGTGTAATGGCGACATAAACAATGGCATCCTGCTATTGGATAGGCCGCCATTGATTTTATTGTACACATTGTAAGCTAAAAATAGAAAACTAGGTCATGGGGTTTTAAATTTGCATTGTAATTTAAAAACTTGATCTGCAAAGTTTTGTAAACAAATAGTTATCGATCACTAAGTTACTGTACAGCCAATCAATATTTGTCTTACGAAAGTGAAACATCCGGTTATAACTTAGGCTTGATGAAAATAAATAGAAATGTAGTAGCGAGGCTCACTAACTTGAAAGCGTCTCTGGTTGCTAACAACAACATGGCGTCCTACACCGGACGCTTAGTTTCGGACATTTTACTTGTCTGCCCAAGTGACTTTCTAGGAATTCGTTTTTAAAATGTTTACCTCGTGAAAAATGGCGGTTTTTTCACATAATGTAAACAAACTATAAATGGCAGTGCTAAATATGCCAGAGAAACGCTATAAATTGCTTTGGATAATGAAGACCGAAGCTCAAAAAGTGGTGCCGACAAACATTCGTAGATCTTTTTAAATATTAGCTACTACGATGTAGATCGGAAACCGAAAGTAGGCTACATCAATATTAGATTTAGCAGTCTGTGTAAAAATAAATCGAATATTACATGCGCTAATTTTTAAAAAAATTCTCCAAAACGGTCACCACCAAAAGTAAAAATTCCATAACCCACGTGACCGCTATTGGGCGGGAGACGTTTGCCTAGGTGGCTCTATCGACTCTTTACTACGTTTGTGTTGTTATTTATGTTGACAAGCGTTAAGTGAATATTTTCCAATTTTGATTTTTACATTGCTGGACAAATTAATTAAGTATTTCGATCTGAACATGGGAAGATAGGAATTAGTTGGTATTTCTGTAAAAGCCCGTAAACCGGTGATCTGGTGGTGAAACGCGATCTCGATACGTCTAGTAAAGTCTAGGTGCTAAATTATTTACTTGATTTTATTATTACTAATTACGACTTGATCGAATTATAGTTAATATTATTTTCATTTGCTTTCATTTTTTATATAATTGATTATTATGATTTAGATCCAGAAGGACTAGGCTAATAAATTATAATAATCATATTAGAGGACAGCCTGCATAAACAAAAGTTGATCTAGATCTAGATCTAGTTGACACAGTACTTGGACTTGCGCACACGCTCGCGTGACGAAAGAACGCAAGCGGGCTCGTGACGAATTTGCATAATTTTTCACTCACAAGTGATCAGCGTTAATGTGATAGGCGTAGCCTAACAATCTTTAAATAGATCTAGACACCAGCTCTAGATACAAATTTAAGTATTAAAACTCCGCCTGGATATGTCTAGCTTCGGACGGGCGATGTTTCTCTCGTTGACAAAACAACGCGAGCGAGCCGTCACTACGCACAGCCTATGAGTGGCGATGTTTGGAATGCATTTCTCGCTCACATGTGATGAAATTTAATGCAACGACAGTTTTAAAAATAAAAACAGATATTTTATTATGTCTATATAGATCTACTTTTTTTTAATATTTAAAACTCAGCCTGGACAAAGCTTCCATGCTGGATAAGGGAGGAGGGTTAGATTCCGCCGTTAACTCAATCTATTATTATTAGGCCTAATTGTCCTAATTAAACATTCCTATTTACACTGATTAATCAAGACTGAATAAAAGTGAAAATGAATACCTTTAAAAAGTTTAGATCTATATATTTTTAAACGTGATTTTTTTGGTTCATTCCTTTGGCGTTTACTAGAAATACAGTAAATAGATTACATAACCAAGTTACGAGTATCCTTTCGATTTCGTTTTATTGCAGCATACCTCCACTTCCCCCTCCCCACACATGATCCTTACGAACCTCCTTGGTCGTTTTCAGGTCAACTTTAGGAACCAGATCTTTGAATGGTTGTCATGGAAAAATCTTTCCCAGCTAAGCCGCATGGCACCAATAATTAAAATCATGTATTTTAGTTCAAAATGAGCTAAAATCATCAAATGTAGTGCCTGGTTAGTTAGAGAAATATCTCTAGCTTTTATTGGTATTGGTTAAAAAAATAAATAATTAAAATTAAGATTTAGTGAGCCTCGCTAAAATGTAGCCTTAAACTCAACAAATTATTTTCAAGTTCTCTGGATTTGCAACTTTTATAACATTTATTCTAAAAATATAAAATTTCTAAATTAATTTTAGGCTTATGTTTTTATTTTTTTTTTTTTTTTTTACGGTCTAAATCTAAAAAGCACGTTTTTATTCCATGTCAACAACATTGGGGACGGAATCTCGTCAACTCGCTCGCCTCCATTTGAAATTAATTTCTCACCAAAAATTTTAAAAACTAAACAAGATCATTTTACACCCTAACACCAAAAAGTCAGGTTTTTATAACCATATTTAGTAGCGAGGCTCACTAACTTGAAAGCGTCTCTGGTTGCTAACAACAACATGGCGTCCTACACCGGACGCTTAGTTTCGGACATTTTTCTTGTCTGCCCAAGTGACTTTCTAGGAATTCGTTTTTAAAATGTTTACCTCGTGAAAAATGGCGGTTTTTTCACATAATGTAAACAAACTATAAATGGCAGTGCTAAATATGCCAGAGAAACGCTATAAATTGCTTTGGATAATGAAGACCGAAGCTCAAAAAGTGGTGCCGACAAACATTCGTAGATCTTTTTAAATATTAGCTACTACGATGTAGATCGGAAACCGAAAGTACATCAATATTAGATTTAGCAGTCTGTGTAAAAATAAATCGAATATTACATGCGCTAATTTTTTAAAAAATTCTCCAAAACGGTCACCACCAAAAGTAAAAATTCCATAACCCACGTGACCGCTATTGGGCGGGAGACGTTTGCCTAGGTGGCTCTATCGACTCTTTACTACGTTTGTGTTGTTATTTATGTTGACAAGCGTTAAGTGAATATTTTCCAATTTTGATTTTTACATTGCTGGACAAATTAATTAAGTATTTCGATCTGAACATGGGAAGATAGGAATTAGTTGGTATTTCTGTAAAAGCCCGTAAACCGGTGATCTCGTGGTGAAACGCGATCTCGATACGTCTAGTAAAGTCTAGGTGCTAAATTATTTACTTGATTTTATTATTACTAATTAGGACTTGATCGAATTATAGTTAATATTATTTTCATTTGCTTTCATTTTTTATATAATTGATTATTATGATTTAGATCCAGAAGGACTAGGCTAATAAATTATAATAATCATATTAGAGGACAGCCTGCATAAACAAAAGTTGATCTAGATCTAGTTGACACAGTACTTGGACTTGCGCACACGCTCGCGTGACGAAAGAACGCAAGCGGGCTCGTGACGAATTTGCATAATTTTTCACTCACAAGTGATCAACGTTAATGTGATAGGCGTAGCCTAACAATCTTTAAATAGATCTAGACACCAGCTCTAGATACAAATTTAAGTATTAAAACTCCGCATGGATATGTCTAGCTTCGGACGGGCGATGTTTCTCTCGTTGACAAAACAACGCGAGCGAGCCGTCACTACGCACAGCCTATGAGTGGCGATGTTTGGAATGCATTTCTCGCTCACATGTGATGAAATTTAATGCAACGACAGTTTTAAAAATAAAAACAGATATTTTATTATGTCTATATAGATCTACTTTTTTTTAATATTTAAAACAGCCTGGACAAAGCTTCCATGCTGGATAAGGGAGGAGGGTTAGATTCCGCCGTTAACTCAATCTATTATTATTAGGCCTAATTGTCCTAATTAAACATTCCTATTTACACTGATTAATCAAGACTGAATAAAAGTGAAAATGAATACCTTTAAAAAGTTTAGATCTATATATTTTTTAAACATTTATACGTGATTTTTTTGGTTCATTCCTTTTGCGTTTACTAGAAATACAGTAAACTAGGCATGCTGCCCAGCTTTGCTTAGGCTTTCGAAGACATTGAGAATTTGAATGCTTAATTAATTCGCCCGAGGGTCGGTCTACGACCTCAGGAGTTATGAAGAGGTTCCTCCGTGGACATTTTTTTTAATTTATAGCTCATATAAGGCGCCGGTCAGTCGAGGTCAGTTTTGACCCCATCATCGTAGACTTTTCGGTCAACCGGCCCCCGTGTTCAGTCGCCCCAAGGCAAGATCCTGCCAAATTTGAAGCGCCTGCGGCGCCGGGAAGTGCCCTATCGGGCACCCGACAACTTTGCTTTATATATTATAGATAAACAAAGATTTCAATAAAGTAATTAAGGCCTGAAATACTTTAGTATAGAAATGTATTATTTGAATAGATGAATCTAGAATATCTAGATCTAGAATCCAAATAAATAAAATAAATTTTATGAGTTTAGGCCGGAAAAATTGTATTGTATACATTTCATAGTGTACGTAGATCTAAATCAAATTTGAATGAAATAGTTCATTTCTTTTTATTCAAACACGGCAGATGACGTCATTAGTTAATGTATAAGCAATAGCGACGTCACAGTTTTATGCGTTCTTTTTCACATGTATTAATGCTTTTCCGGTTGCATAAATAATACTGTTTCTCTACATTCGAATACGCCTTTAATTTTTATTTTTCTTCTTTAACTAAAATTGTGGTTATACATTTAAAACATCTAACATATTATTTTCAACAAAAGTCCGTAAAAAGTTCTCGATATATCGCTGCCGATTCTGACGTGATGTCCGGCGAAAATTTTTTGCGGACAGAGAAAGAGAGAGAGAGAGAGAAGAGCGCACATGGCCTTTTATAAATTAGGATAGATTACATAACCAAGTTACGAGTATCCTTTCGATTTCGTTTTATTGCAGCATACCTCCACTTCCCCCTCCCCACACATGATCCTTACGAACCTCCTTGGTCGTTTTCAGGTCAACTTTAGGAACCAGATCTTTGAATGGTTGTCATGGAAAAATCTTTCCCAGCTAAGCTGTATGGCACCAATAATTAAAATCATGGGATGATTATAGATACCAGTTTCCGATAATGGAATCTTCTTTAAAAAAGGGGTGTTGGGTTGTTAGTAGTATTGTAATCTTGACTAATTTTATGATTAGAAATTAGGGTTAGGCGTATGTTTGGACCAGGGTTGGGGTTAGGGTTAGGGACAGGGTTAGCATTAACATTAGCCAGCCATGAGTGTATTTAGTTAACTACCAGTAACCTAACACCCCTTTTTTAAAGAAGATTCCATTTTCAGACACCGGTGTAAACATTCTCCCACAAAATTTACTACATTAGCACACTAATTTAAAAAAATACTAGAGTTAAGTACCAAGTTTTATATCAATTTGATCGTCACTCATTTTCTTTCTTTACAGGATAAACTGATGCTTCTTAAAAATGTAGTCGTACGTTTCAAGACAAGATGGCGTCGATTTTAGTTTGGCCAGGTACGAAAAAGAAAACAATAGCATTTAACTATTTAAAAATCTGGGTGTCTAATAATAATAATAAGCTTTTCGAATAAATTGTATGATCAATTGCACTAAAAACATTAAAAGATAAAATTATTATAATGTTTTGCAAAACTATAAAATGATATGAACTCACACAGATTGGGAGTTATAATTAATGAAAGTTATGTCTAGTATTAGTGACTGTTGAGTGGAACATTTCGAACCAAATCCTTTTTATTGCCCTTTTACAGAAACAGCCAATCTGAAAATGAATGCCCTATGCGTTACGTACAAAACAAATTTAAGTAAAAATAACAGAATATTTGAATGAGTTGAGCTACCTTAGTGTATAAACTATATTTGTCGATAAGCAATGCTGCCACATTAGAATATCCATTAACCCTAAGCTTAATCTCGATACGAATATGTTAATTAGCATGAACGCATTTTTTTTCTAAGTCATTCTGGGGGGGGGGGGGGGGCGTTTTGTCCGGGGACAAACTTTCAATTAGGCGCCCCCCTCGAGAGCAAACTTTCGATTTGCACCTCCCCTCAAACTATTTATAATGCAACAATGAAGCTAAAATGACATTTTAATTTGTTTTTACAACCCATTTTGGCGCCCCCTAAGGTCAGCGCCCGGGGACATATGTACCCCCCCCCTGCCCCCCCCCCCCCCCATCGCTACGCCTCTGGGATGTATTCTAGTCAAATCCCCAATTATGGAGTGATGCATTATCTAGATTCTAGACAACACTCTACTGAAGCATAAAACTAAAAATACGTTGTTTGTTTTATTTATTTATATTTTATTTTATTTACATTTTAAGAAAATGGGCAACAAAAGATGCAAAGATAATGTAAAAAAAAGTTGGGATTTATATGTGCATCATCTAGAATAATCTAGATTATAGTAAAAAAAACTGATTTGTCAAACATAACATAACTTATTTGTTCAAAAACAATAAGGATAAATTAATGAGGGTGCAGAGGCGTAGCTAGGGGAGGGCGGGGAGGGCGGCCGCCCCGGGCGCCGACCCTAGGGGGGCGCCAAAAGGGGTAGAAAAAAAAATTAAAAGCTCATTTTAAGCTGCAGTTTTGAATTATAAACAGTCAAAGTAAAGAAATTTAACGGCTGAGAGACTTTGCATACTGATTTAACTGTTTTCTACCTTGATTGTGTAACTGTAAAACGTATATCTTTAAGAAACAGTGACCGGAAAAACCGCTTTCCAGCTTTCCTAGATGGGGAGGGGGGGGGCGCTTTTTCGAAGACTAAAATCGGAAAAATTCACACCGGATTAAGGAATAAATAACCGATATCACTCAGAAAAGAAACCCATTGAACTAAAGCGTATTTTACGATTGTGTAACATAAAAAAGAGTTAGTGACGTTTAAAATCCGTTATGTACTGGATCGGTTGCTAGATAACTCTTTTAACACTTAGAAAAGAAATCAATTGTATTAACACTTAATGTACGATTTCACTACCCGGTTTTGCTAAGTAATAACGCGACTAGTTCTTTGTACGTTTCTTACGATTCTCTCAACTTGATCGTGAGAGATCAGATACTTTTACTTCATTGCGTTACATCTTGCCTGGTTCACTTCATTAAAGAGAAATAAATATAACGGATTCTTGCATCGCTATCCGATCAGTAAAATAGCAGACTGTCGGAGCGGATGGATGGGAAGCGACACTCTTTGCCAAAATTTTAAGAGAGAAGAAAATTAGTATATTGTACTGATTATTACTTTGTTAAACCTAACTGATAATTCAAAATTGCAATATTTGCCTACTGTTATCGAAATTGTTCTAAAGACACGACCAAAAGTAGACCAAATAAGGCTTGAGCCTTCTATAAAATACACTCTAAAGCAGTGGTTCTTAACTTTTTGGAGTACCGAACCCCACCAGTTTCATATGCGCAATTACCGAACCCTCCTTAATAGTTGTATCGTCCACAATGACAAAATCCGATTGTGAATCCTATGAGTAGGGTGTGTGTCTTGACCTCCGCGGAAGCCCTGAAACTTAATTACCGAACCTCTCGGGTTCGATGGAGCCCACTGTTCTAAGCTCTTTTGATTTTCTACTTTTTATTCGTTTCGGCGTCTAAAGCGGAATTTAATTGGCGTCCAGTGAAGTTTTAGGGAACGAAAATCAGCGTAATTGTTAATTTTTTTTCCAGACTGTCGCACACACAAACACACACACACACATATATATATATATATATATATATATATATATATATATATATATATATATATATATATATATATATATATATATATATATATATATATATATATATATATATATATGGGGGGCGCCAAACTGAAAGTTCGCCCCGGGCGCCTGGAGGGGTCACTACGCCTCTGTGAGGGTGTCGCCCCAACTCCACCCCCTCCAACAATTTAGCATTTCGGCTTGCTGTCACCACTCTCCCCTATCATTTTATAAATTTAACTGGATAAAACATGTTTAACAATAGTTTTATGACGTTTTTAAGTGGTGTCAACCCTAGATGAGAGTTGCCTGATGTGGACCGTAACCCCCCCCCCCCTCCCCTCCACCTTGTGACCCATATCCCCACTAGCAGGTTCTGTCTTATGGTTGGCTTATTAGCCGATAAGAGATTAAAATTATACTGCAAAAATCTAATTATAAAATATTTACATGTAGTTCTTGTGATTTCTGATGAGTCTAAGTGCTTGACTGCTTAGTTTTCAATATATATATATATATATATATATATATATATATATATATATATATATATATATATATATATATATATATGTGTGTGTGTGTGTGTGTGTGTGTTACGGTCAAAGCCCGAAGGGCGGCCAAAGCCCGCATTGGCCGGCCAATGCGCGCACTGGCCGGGACGTACTGGCCAAAGTCCGAAGCGCTTAAACTTGACAACGTATTTTGTACATTGGCCGGTCAATGCGTGCACTGGCCGGGATGTCCTGACCAATGTTCTATCTAGACTAAGTTGTGATCGCATTTTTATTATTCTGAGTGCGGTTTCGTTGTGAGTAACGTATTGTTTAGCTCTTGTTTGTATAGCATTCTATATGCAAGGCGAAATGGATCTGCCGGCGAACGCGCCTGCCTGATTCAGTTTCGCCAATGATTACAAGAGCCTATTGTATCAGTAGTGTGTTCAGAGTTTCTTCCAGGCATCTCACCCCTCCCGCCAAACGAAATTTATATAATTACATTATAATTTATATAGGAAATATATACTTTTAAGTGTCTGCCCCCCCCCCCCCCACCCCCGATGAAAGTCTACCGCCCCCCGAAAATTTCAAGTGCCCCCCCCCCCCCCCCCGAGAAATAAGTCTGGAAGAAACACTGTGTTGCACTTTTTAAACGAATATATACGCTATTAGAGGGGGACTTCTGGTCTGACAGTTGCATCAAGAAGTACCCCTGCCCCCCCCCCCCAGTACAGGACGCTCAATCAATGGATGTATAGTATAATTTAAAATTGAAGCCTTACTTTTTGGATACCAGGCTTGAGTCAGCTATCAAAGGTACTGATGGCACATTTAAAGTAAGTCTAACTGGCAAAGAACCAACAGCTATGCCCTTAAAATCTTCTGGTCTGAGAGGGTATCAACATTTAGAACAGAAGCGAGCCACATTAAATGTTGCCTTGTGTGACAATTAAATGTGCAGTAAACCACAAAGTACACACCACTTTTGAAATATTCAGCAATGACGCAAAAGGCTGAATGATTTATATTTTTATTTCTCTTATATACATGAAATAGTCAGAAACAACAGTTACACATAAACATTCAAACAACAAGTGACTTTTTAAATAACTTTATAATGAGGTATGATTGATGTCTCATGCTTATGGAACAATGTTTTCCTAGCCACACACAAAATTCTATTTAATCTAAATGATTGCAAGTGCTGTATAAGAAGCACACACAAATATGTATCAAGTGGATTTAAATGTCTAAATAAGCTAGGGGTGTTCAATTATAAAAATAGTATGTAAAATGAAATATATGATAAAACTACTAACTACTGTTTCTAAGAATAATTACGCTGCTTTGAACAACTTATTTTTAAATTAGAGAAATGAAGTTTTAATGTAATGCAGTTAGTGACTAAATTTAAAAAAAAAACAACTACCAGATGTATCCATATTTTAAAAATCAAAATTATATTTTACTACTGTTAAATAAGGACCTAACAAGAGAAGAAATGTACCAAAAATAAAATAACCATTAGTTTTGATAAAATATAGATAAAGGTTGCTGCCTAACGGTTCTTCACTATATTTATTAGCCTTCTTTTCATTTAAGTAATCTAAATTATTAGTTTGTAATTTTTACACTTTTGATTTTTAAAAGTTATATATAAATAAATCTAAGATAGGCATAGATTTCATTAATTTGAAAAATATAAAAATTCATGCTTTTTTATCACAGTTTCATTGCAATGCTTATATAGTGAATAGTAGTTATTACAATCTGTGATATTGATACACAAAAGCTGATCAATTTAATTGTTTAACATCATCTGCTAATCCACTGAATCCAAACTGATGTATGGGAAAGACAAATGTTAACAAACATTTAATGATACATGAATTAAATCATTTCTTCTTTAAGCTCATAAAATTTTAAAAATGTTATCTAACACACAGAAGTTCCAAAATATTAGTGAATTTAACATTCTGAAACTATTCCATTCCAATAATGAGAAGAAAAATAGGATCCCTTTTAATAAATTAAAACAAGTTACTTCGATCCCTTAAAACATGATTAAAATATTACTTTATACATTTGTTAAGGTATCAGTGTCTCTATCACAAAACTAAAATTTACCTATTTTAAAAGAATAAACAGTTAAGATATTCCAACACTTGATTTGTATTCCAGCCAATGGATGAAAAGACTCACACAGCACATTTACTAATAAATCGTCAACAAATTGAATGTAACAAGTGGTTTGGAATCAAATGAACAAATATCTGATAAAATGTTTTTGCATAAATAGCTTTGCTTCTAATAATACAAAGCTTTTTAAAATAACTGCTAAATGTAAAGTCGATCCAACAAAAAACCTAATAAGATTATTTTTGGGAAAAAAAAAGAACGCTAAGAATTAAAAACATTGCCATTTTTTAAAATTTATCAAGCCCTACCCTTAATCAAGAAAAACTGCAAGTACATAAAATGTATTGTTATTGCCATAAATGTTAATAATTATAGTGCAATTGCAAAATTTCACCCACACAACATGTACTACAAAATTTCCTTTCCTTTGTTTTCACTTTTGCATAGTTCAACAAGAAAGACTTTATTTTATTAATTAGGAAAGGAACACATAATTTTCTAGTTAAAAATTCTTTATTCAATTAATTTGTCTCTTAAGTTTTCAGTTTATAAAACTAAGGTATTATAATTTGTACTTAAAAAATATATTTAAAAAAAATCAACATACTAACAGTTTTTTAAAATTCCAATTTTTTTGTAAAAAAACAACAACAAACAACTGGAAATATTAAAATACTACAAGTAAAAAGTAAGTCTATTTATTTGCATTTAACTATAATAAAATGTACCCACTTTTTAATTATAGATTTTGAAGTTAAAAGCTAAAGACTAATTAAAAAAAACTACTCAACTAGTTTTACTCATAAATATGTTCAATTAAAAATATATTGTTAAATACAAAGTCATAGCATTGCTTTATTATTTTGGAGGGTGGACATAGGGTTTAAAAACACAAATATAAAATATCCTTGTCCCAGTAACATTAAATATTAACACTTTTTACAAACAAAAATTATTACAAACATTCAGTGATTCTAGCTTCTGAACCAAAGACATGGTCATACGTCAACATGGAATTAAAATATTCTGTACAATGGAGAGTTTTAAAAATTATCAGCATCCATCATTGGAACATTTCTTGTTAAATTAGTATTCAATTTATATATGCACACTTTCCGTTCTTTCCTATCTAGCAAATTAGCAGTTACACCAATTGACAACAAGCAATCCATATACTGAAAAGCTGGGTGAACAGACAAATAAGACAATCCCATAACAAATGCTGGGATACATGTCTTTTTCATTATTTTTGGATTTAGCCTATGTCTATCAAGCACACTTGCAAATAACACACAATATCCTAAGTCTCTACCACCCTCAAGTATTACTTTCATTGAGGTTACCATATTTTGATATAACACCATTGACATAACCTGCCATGTCTACTTCCTGTTCTGCAGCTCTAAGAATAAAAGGATGCTCCAAAAGTTGAGCATAATTCCAACGTTTTTTGTAGTCTTTATCCAAGCTGGTAAAAAAAGAAATATTCATTTAACACTAATTTTTCAAAATTGTTTAGTCAGTACAATTGAACTATTAATAATTGATGGATCTAAATACACTTGCACAAAAGTATTTTTCAAAATGATTAAGTTTTTATAGCAATGGAAAATCAGCTAAGAAAGTATATTAATAAGAAAAGAAAAACTAATGCTCACCAGTTGTCAATAAAGCTACAAAATTCAGGAGAAAACTGATTATCAGGCAATTTTGGAGAAGCTTCCATAACCACTTGCTTGATCTGCTGGAATGGCGAGTCCCATTTTGAATATGGAAATTCTCCAGTGGCTAGTTCCATCTGAAAATTTGCAATGAGATTTTTTAAAACAATCTTGAGTTTGAAGTGGTAAATAAAATTAGAGATGTAAATTCGTAGCTATCACAGCTTTAACTTTTGTATTATTTTTTAAAACTTTCAGTGCATTTACAAATTTATTGGTTGCAAGATTTGTTACAAAACCACAGACAGACATAGTGAACTAAGTGTTATTTTAAGAAAAGAAAAGGAGTGGTCATTTTGAATCTAAGTTATGCCCCTTTGCTCAGGTAGTAAAAGTGGAAATAAACTTTATAAACCTACAAATGTAAGCAGAAAGCTTAATTTAAATATAGAATGTTTAAATTGATGGTAATTAATAAAATCTTAGCCTTTGTGCTGAGTAAGGAATTAAGTTCATGAGAACTATAGATCTATATTCAATATAAATTTTAACTATTACATCTTCCCATCAACACATCACTTTAAAATTGTGAATTTCAAGAAGAGGAAAATTTCAATTTTTTATATTTTGCAAAATAAAATAAGTTAAAAATCATTTACATTATTTTATACCCCAGACAATAGCCCTGATTTAATATGGACTTGTTTTTTTTTTAAATTAAAAAACGTTAATTTAAAAAATGAATAGGTAAATTGGTATCTGCTATAATTTAAAAAAATGAATCAGGTAAAAAAATAAACACTTACCATTGTTATGCCTAAACTCCAAACATCAGATTTAATGTCATATCCATTGCTAGAGTTGTCAGGATTTATTCTCTCAGGCTGTTAAAGTTTGGTAAAGAATAGTTAAATATAAACTATATGCTTTATCTCTCAATAATTATCTATTTGCTCACAATCATTTTTAATAGAAAGAAACAAGATTTACTATGATTTTTTATGTATTATTGTTATAACAATAGCTAAAAATAGCAAAATTTTGACAATTATAAACAACGAGCCGGCCCGCGGCATAACATACGCCGCTATTTAGTTGTTGTTTTTTTCTACTTTTCAGTAATTCATAAATTGTGAATTCGACAGTACCAACGCTGCCACAGAAAATATTTCTTTAAAACACTATAAGTAGCTCGTTAAGGACCATAACCCCCCCTTCCTTCCCCCCCCCCCCCACGTTTAAAATCATTTCAAACTAAATTATCTGCCCCTAATAGTCGTCACTAAACCCGGCTCTGTTTGTAAACATTAAGAGTGAACACAGCTCACTAAGATCATGTAGGGGTGGGGTGGTAGGGAGCGCGTTTTACAGCTTGTTTTCTAACGGCTCCCAGAAGAGAATTATATATATAGACTATAGTAGTATTTTTATGATAATATATGCAAGTAGGCAACTTACTCTAAGTGTTTTTAAAACCTTTACAGAGAATCAAAATATTTTTAAATTAATGAAGTAATGTCTTACAGCCATGTATGGTCTGCAGCCAGCATCTTTGGTTCTTGCTATTGAATCCACCAAATATCCACTGATGCCAAAGTCACAGATTTTAACTGCACCAAGTTTGTTTATCAGAATGTTGGATGGTTTGACATCACGATGAATGACATGTAGTTCTGTGTGTAGGTAGTGTAGAGCCTGTACAACCTAAACAAACATACAATATATGTAACTCAACTAATAAATATTTATCTTCAACCTTATAAAAAAATTGGAGTGAACATCGCAATTTTATTATCCAATCTTAGGGTCTGTAACTTTATCATAGTCATCACAAAATAAGCAAATAATATCGATTTCCAAACGAATATAATGCAATGATAAATTTAGTTCCTATTAGAATTTATTGGCAACATGGAAATAAATGCTGAATAAAAACGCCCAACTTTAATCAATGTAAAGACTTACTGATCTTGCTATCTTGCCCATTACATTCTCTGGTATTTTTTCTCCATTAGATTTCAGCTTTTTATAGAACTGATCAAGCGAAGCTTCCATTACCTCCATGCAAATCCAAACATCACCCTGAAGATCACCAAATACAACAAAAAATTTAGCAAATATCTAGCATTTTGGCTGCACTAATTCTTTTGTATAAGAAGTTAAGTTATATTTACATTAGTACAAAGCAAATTTTAGAAAAAATCAACAAAATTAGTGCTTTAAAATTTTTTATATTTTTTTGTACTGGTATATTTGTAAAATCACATTTTCCAATGGTTTTAGTAAGTACACTTCAAAACAAATGTACAAACTTCAGACAGGAAATAATTACTTTTTCCGTTTATTAGGAAAAAGTTATCAATGATCTACCATTATTTTGACACTGAGGAAATTTACGAACATCTAAAGTGAAATCATACCTCTCTGAATAAAGCCCCATAAAATTCAACAGTGTATTCACATGATCCACTCCTCATGTTGATATCTAAATCCATCAGCAGACGCTTCTGTTCTTGGTTGTTTACTGTAGCATTTATTCTCTGTAAAAAAAATAATATAAATACCGTGACTGAACCAATACCGTGACTGAACCAAGCTAGTGTCATGCATTTCTCAACTATTTTCAAAACTTTAGCAATTTTTAATTCTGACAAATTGATTACATAAGTATCAGTATATTTAAATGCTCACTTTAACTGCAAGTATTGTGTTACTTCTTGTATGAATCATTTCTTCAACGACACCATAAGCACCCCGCCCTAGGTATCGCCTGTGTTGCAGGTCACTGGCATCACATTCAAACTTTTGTCCATTTATTGTCAGGGTGGCCTTTGAATCAAGATCTGGTCTGGGCGGCCTAAACATATTTTTAAAGTTAATCCAATGGGTAAAACATATGTGAAAGTTTAATATTAGTGAGTTTTGAATAAACTACAGTTTTATTTTATTTTAAAATGCAAGACATTTTTCAAGCTGATGATTGTGTTAAGAAAATATAATTAAATTAAGTAGCGTACAAAGGGTAGTAATGATTAACAAAACGCAAAAGGTGAAAAATAATTTTTTTAAACCAGATTTACAATTTTGCAAGAGTTTTCAAACGTATAGTTTTTAGTAGAGATTAAAATGGTTTATGGAAAACAAATTATTTTTAAGATAGTACTTTATACTTACTGTGGAACAGGTTGATCATCGCTGATTTTGATCCCTACACCTTGAAATTTTTTGCCTGAAAAATACAAAAAAAAAATTATTAATATTAATTCACATTAAATTCGCAAAAGAATTGAGCATAAAAGAAAATAGAAGGCAAAAAAAAAAAAAAAAAAAAAAAAAAAAAAAAAAAAAAAAAAAACTTGTATGCAAACAAGACCGACTTGTAAAAAAAATGTACATATTTAGACTCTAGCTCTGACAAAATTGCAGTGCTGATATAAAGAGGCCCTTTTTTCCTATGAGCTTGTTACAGATCTATATAATTACTTGTTAACTTATGTTTATTTAAAAATTAAGAATACACTGGAAGTAAGTATCCTCCTTTTTTATGTTTGTAATATGAAAAGACTTAGTCTGGTTATCATCCTAAAATTAAAAAGCAAGTAAGGTTTCCTTTAAGACCTGCTGATCCATGGGGCAGATGAAGTAGAGTTCACCTGTTTCAGTGACTGGCATATGAAGGGATAATGTGGTCATCACTATGCCCAGCTAATTTTACTTTCCTTAATGTGAGTCATTCAGGTACCCATCAGAGCTGGGTGGGCTCAGGGACATCCCACATGTTTATTCATTTTCAGAGTTTTTCTATAAAATTAAATTAAGATAAGCAATAATTTCACCCACACAAAATGTATGCTGATTTGCTTGCATTATGCTTACAGTGCAACTACTTGAGTTTTGCATTAAAAAAATATATATACAAGACTTGTGTAATTTCACAAATCTTCAAGGAACTAACATTTGTATGATCAGAAAACATCATTTCTTGGAAAATGTTAAGAATATCCAGGACACAAAGAAACAGCCCTACCCTTCCCCATTTCAATCCAATGTATGAATGTAAGCAAGCTGATCCAATAAGGAAGAAAAAATATACAGTGAAGTACAGTGAAGATTTTAGCTGAACTAGCTGGTTTAAAAATACATTTCAGTCAAGATCTACTGCAAACTTGGTGCAAAATATCAGTAGTAGGTGCATGGTGAAATCGGTGTAATTTAATCTATTAAAAAGCTCTCATGATTATAAAGAAAATGAACTTGATACTTTAAAAATATTTTTATTGGGTAGAAAGTGAAGCTCACTGGAATAAAAAAAAACACTTTTAAGCTGATAAGGATGTCCTGTTGTTTGCATGGTTCTTTACTATATATCATATTAACATAATATCAAGTTTACATTAAAGCTTTATTAAGCTCTTTAAATATGTGTGCAAGTTTGTAAGCTCTATCAAAGGAGATATACAATAACAAAGGGGAGATAACACATCCTGAGTTTAAAACTGCTTCCCTTTGTTCTCTATATATCTAGTTTGTAATTGTACAAATAAGCTTTAGAGGGTTAACAGCGGGTTAGTTAATCTGATCCTACTTAACACAATCTCATGGTTCATTATTAAGTATCTCTATAAACTAACTTCCATATTTAAGCACAGACCTAGCCTTGTGAAGAAATACATTTAATAAATATGTTAAACATGATGGTCAGTGATGCTGGGTTACACACTACATTGACCAGTGTCAGTTAGTGCAACACTAACCAGTGTCAGTTAGTGCAACACTAACCAGTGTCAGTTAGTGCAACACTAACCAGTGTCAGTTAGTGCAACACTAACCAGTGTCAGTTACTGCAACACTAACCAGTGTCAGTTAGTGCAACACTAACCAGTGTCAGTTAGTGCAACACTAACCAGTGTCAGTTAGTGCAACACTAACCAGTGTCAGTTAGTGCAACACTAACCAGTGTCAGTTAGTGCAACACTAACCAGTGTCAGTTAGTGCAACACTAACCAGTGTCAGTTAGTGCAACACTAACCAGTGTCAGTGCAACACTAACCAGTGTCAGTTAGTGCAACACTAACCAGTGTCAGTTAGTGCAACACTAACCAGTGTCAGTTAGTGCAACACTAACCAGTGCCAGTTAGTGCAACACTGACCAGTGTCAGTTAGTGCAACACTGACCAGTGTCAGTGCAACACTACACACAATGATGTTGTGACAAGGGACATGATACAAAACAATTTTTTTTAAAAATGTTTCTTCTCCAAACGAAATTCATAATATGTTGACATAGATATTCAGGCTATTAATAATAATACAGCCTGCCCCATCCCGTCCCCAGCATTAACAGGGGATCGATGCGCACCAAAAGACCCCAGGGTCACATCTGTTAGACCAAGTTTACTGCAACCCTCCCCTGCACACAGGTCAACTGGTTTGTGTTGTTCCATCAATCCGTCTGAGAACGCTTAAATTGAGAAAAAAATATCCCAATACACGACCGTGATACTGAACCTGCCAATACAAACAGGGCAGTCTATGGGACGGATTTAAACGTGACATAGATCTAGTTGGTATAGATGCCGTCAAGGCAAATCAATGACAGCTTATCTTGGTACTGTTTCTTTCTAGGGAAATATTTTAATCCAGGCAGTCTAACCCTCTCGTTAAGAGTCGGGGAATGGGGTTGTAATACTTAGGAAGGGGGGAGGGGAGGTAGGGAGGAGAAGATACTGAGCCGAGCGGGCCACCATGCAGGGGAAGGAAGTCCAAGTTCAGAGGGTAGGGGTCGTGGTGAAGAGTGGGACATGAGTGTCGGTGGTGCATAGGGTCACCGGGGTCAGAGGGAGTAGGTCACGACGTGGAGAGAGCGAGTAGCTCTGCACAAAAGGGTGGGGACTTGGTGCAGATGTTAAGGACTCTAGCACGTAAGACAAGGACACCGTTTATAATTTACTTTGGTTAGAAGAAACTGGGTCGAGTCTGTGTGGTAGCTAGGCCAGTATGTCTTACATTCCATACGTTTTTCACACCAGCACAACTGAAACCTGCCGACCCACCCTATACTAATAGCATAGCCATAACCCACCCTACAGTCTAGCAACGACCCACCCCAGTCTAGCCAGACAAGATTTACCCCCCCCCCCCCCCCACCGCCTTGACAACTATCCCAGACTGGAAACCAACAGCTTAAAAGGGGGAAGGGCGGCATAGTGAAGGAAACTTACAACAAGGAAGTAGGACAAATTAAACGCTTTTATTCACTCTGGTTTTGTAAATAAAGACATGATCAGCTACTAGATCTAATTAATATCCTGTCTGGCCGCTGTGGATTGGTGAGCCAGCCACAGGAAGCCAGGCAGTATCCAAGTGACGAACAACGCAGTCCGTCTGCTGACCTACTAACTTGTCAGGTTTTCTCGCCAGTTCAAAATTCCTTTGTCCCAGCCTGTAACGTTTATCGTGAAAATAAAACAAAACTTTTCATTTGAAGAACGTGTGTTGAAGCATGTAGCGGAGTGAAACGTTCATGTATAACTTAGCAATTGATAAAGTTTAAAGTTTGTTTAAAGTAATACTGTACTACGATGGTCAGTGTTAAGGCCATGCTTAAATCTGAGTTACTTTTGGGGAGGGGGTGATAAGTGGTGAAGGGTTATTAATGAGGAAATGGACACGACAACAATGGCACTGTTAAAAAAAAACAGCAGCTTCAACACTGAGGTGCTCCTACTTGGCTTTAAAATAAATACTTAAAGCAGAAACGCACAGTATAAAAAAAAACGGAACAGTGCGAAGATGCAATATTACATGCATTAAAAGATTAACGAATAAGTAGCGCTGAATTCTACCATACCAACCCATTAAAATGTGTATAGCGATAATAAATATTTGTCTCAGCCTCACTGTTTACTTAAAAATAAATATTTTAAGTTAAACGTACTTTAACTCAAAATTATAACCCCTACTATAGATTTAAATAGTGGTTCCATTATTAGGTTAGGTAACCAAAATAGTACAGTACAAGTTTCCCACTATTTAAGCAAGACTGATTCTAGTATTCTTCCGTCAAAAATTGCGTCATCTTTTCCACACCCCTCGATTCCCAAAGAAAAAAAAAATACCACGATGTCACGTGGTCAAAAAATGGTCACGTTTATTAACAGTGATGTGTCATTCAAGGTTAGATGATTCAGGCTGGCAAAACAGGAGTTTTCAAACTTTTTATCGCCCACTTTGTACAGAAAAACGTTAGCCAATACGAACTTTCTAATTAGATGAGGTACCTCTGTAATTATTTATTGCTCGTCTCTAGCGCAGAGTGTTTTGTTCAGTGCCGCTTGTTGTAAGCACCAATGCGCATTGGGATAGTCAAAGCAGATTATAAGGAAATCCCCTTGGCAACAGAGGTCAAAGGTGAATCACCAGCTGAAAAACAACCAGCGACCCAAACAGCCGCGGGTTTTAAGTACATGCCAGTTAGCGACACAATGCATGTTTTAGATGCCATCAATAAGCGTGTGTGTGCTCCTGGAACTGGTACTTGTTAGTGGGAAAATATTGGGCCGATCGTGCAGCAACGGTTAACCATTGACTTTATAAAAAAAAAAAACAGGCGGATCTAGAAGGCTAGGGAAAATGTATTAAAGAAAAATGTGTGCATTTTTGTCATGTGTATGATTGACAACTATAAGCAGGTCTCATAAAGGTCGTGGTGGTATGGTCCCCACCCTTAAAAATTTATATTTATGCGTATCAAGCGCCCCCCCCCCCCCTCATTATAGTAGACCTACATACTGATTGAAATAAATCGGCTTAACAGTTACACTTTTGATGAATTTGCGTTTCGAGAAAAACATGGAGACAATGTTTGGTGTGTAGCGAGAAGATTGACGTCAATGATACTCTACATAGGCTACGGCAACAGCTGGCTTAACTCGGGGGTCGATTTTCTACAGCAAAGATAGTTATTGGTCATGTTCGGACAGCTAGCACTAGTGCTGGTGGGGCAGGCACCTGACCAATGACAATGCATGCCTTTTGTTGAAGGTTGCCAGATTAGCCATAACCACATATTTAATATTATTTATGGGTAGTATTGCCACATCATGTGGATATGGCTAATCGAAACAATAACTGTTTATATAACTAACGATAGGTATGCTTTGTTGATATCATAAAGTAAAAGAATTCTTGTGTTGTAGGTAACTAGGGTTATGAATGCGTCACAAGTCAATTGACTTTATGGTTCATTTGATAAGCCACGAATTATAATTAGAACATGTATAAAACCCGCCCCCCTCTGTAGGTGGATAATGTTCGTTGATGAATCAACCCACACTTAACGCCAACATCCTTGAGCGACTGGACAATAGACCCACACTGTAAACATATCTCAACGACATCTGCACGCCTATCCTTTACAAGGGTTAAGTAGGGACACAGTAGATCTGTACTTGGCAGTGCTAACACATTGGGATCTAAGGCCGACTAACACGAAGCGTATCGCTTCGTTGATAGAAACGGGGAAAAACCGTTACAAGAATGTTAAAATCTGAACCCAATGTCCGTGTGAACAACGACTATTAGACTAACTGGTAGTCGAGACATGCTTGGAATGTAAGTTCAAGCAAGAATTTGCATATTTATTCATTCAAACATTCTTTAAAAATTGAATAACTAAACAAAGGAAGTTCAAATTTTCCCCACTTGCTCCTAGAAATAAAATGTTTTTCAGCGAAAATAAAATAACAGTATACAAAAAGTGCAGTGCTTTTTTCGGAACATTTCTAGATTTAGATTCAGTTATTACAAAATGATAAATTAATATTTATTACAGGCTACATTTCTCAATGCCGCGTGTCTTGTAGGATTGGTTAGCGACAAGCGTGATACGCCCACTCGACAGTTCGCGCGGTCTTTGGTCACGATACACGAGAAACATGGTAGGACTACACAGGCGCCTACACTGCACAGAAGCCACTGCGTTTAACTAGGTCATCGTTTAGCAGTTTAAAACAACGCATGCATTTGAAATAAGAATAGGCGATTAACAACGGCCCAGACAGTGCACTCTCCTTCCTATCGATGTCAACGGGCTGCCAATGTAACTTTCCAAAACTAGGTCGTTGGCACAGATTCCCGACATCGCCACCTGTCACTGTTACCAGTCACCTTTTCAGCGCGTGAATGTTCTGCTGGTGTGTCAGTCGGGGCGTGTTTAACACTTCCAAAAGCGTGCATTCACACGGCTCACAAAACGCCCACAATTAAACCCGACAAATGTGTTAGCCTTACCTTTTCCCCGTGTAGTCATCTTCCCCCCTCGGGGCCGGTTCGATAAAAAGTTATTGTGCACGCCGTTAGTAATCTCTTGCATTGATCAGCGCTAGTCTATTGACCCAGATTTCAATAATCCAGAGGTTAGACACTACGTATGGAATAAATAATCACTATCCAAAGAAAAAAAAACACAAGACTGCAAACTACGTATACAAAGCAGAGGTCAAGCAAGCATGTCCACTTATGAACTTTACATGACCGATTCAAACAACAATGTTTACGAGCAAAAATCTCTGTAACACCTGATTCCCTAGCAGTGTCTCCGTGAAGGCCTCGCGATTTGATTGGTGGATCTCCTCCAATGCTTAAACGGCCTCATTCATGCTAGTGTATGACTAAGCAATATATTTCTCTTGCGATTGGCTGACACGAGATTGTGACTCATCAAGTCGAGGGGATTCCCTGTAAACTTCATCACCGCCAGCGAATTCGGTACTCTCAGATGAATGCGTAAACCACGTTTAACCGCCTGCACGTCCTGGAACCTGTCACTTGCGTCGTGCATTAATATCAGCACCGGATCTCCCTTACAACTTAGGCCTAACCGAACATAGGGAATTAAATGAGAGGAAATCCTAAGACAAATGGCATCCGCCTCAAAAATTATTCCGTATTTTTAAATATTATGTAGAGTCGGGTTAAAAATATTTTGTAGAAAACATGACCTGTCACACTGATTGACATCAACAACTTATTTACATAAAATTGTCTAAAAAATAACTTGGAGAGAGAATGTCTAACACTAGATGATTTTAAATTAAATGCACCCTTAACTGAAAGATAATGGGGGGAGAAGAGGGTCAAGAAAAAGTTTCCATTATAGAAAATGGCTTTTTTTTTAATGTCTAGGAAAAAAATCCTTTTAAAATAAAATAAATTAAAAACTGCAATTTTATGTCTTAAGCATTAGTTTAGGTTGCAGAAATTATTTTAAATACTGGGAAATTATGGCAATTTTTTTTCCTGTGGTGGAGGGAATGAAGTAAGGGGGGGGGGGGGTGGAAAGGGATGATTGAATTTCAGAGTTTGTTAATAAAAATAAATTATACAAGTAGTATGTTACCCTGAGGGCTGTAAGTTGGTAAGAATTTAAAAAAAAATGTTGATATTAAAAAATAACTTGCAAAACTTGATAAAGATCTATATCCGGTCAGCTGTCCAGCAAGTAAATGCTAAACCAAGTCAAACTAAATCATGTAAAGTCCAGGCAATTTATGTTTTTTATTCAATATGATTCAACCAGACATGACATATAATGACTTTATGTCATATGCCAATTAACCAGACATCACTCAATTTAATGTCTTTAGGTTGCATGTCATTTAACTAGACACATTGTCATATTTTGCCTCAATGTCATGTCATTTAACCAGACATCATGTCATTAAATGCCTTAATGTCACATACCATTTAACCAGACATGTCATATATGCCTTTAGGTCACATATCATTTAACTAGACATGTCATAAATGAAGTAATTTGTCCTTTAACCAGATATATGACTGATGTCTCACTGTATCAGTGGGTTGCAGAAACGTGCAATACTTAGATTACATGTTAAAAAGTAGCATATACTTCTAAGTAGATGTGTAAAGTGAGGATCAGACAAATGTAACATAATCTATAGATGTAGTTTAAAAAAACCAGGGGTAATATGTGGAATAAGAATTACAATAGTATGTTAATGTATTAACAGTAGTTTAAGTTTTGTGAATTAAAGTTTCATGTTTTGTTTATTTTAGGAGCAATAATAATACAAAACTTTAAAGGCTACTAGGGCTGCACAAATAATTAATTATTACAGAAGACGTGGTGGTTTTTAAATTGTTCAAAAGTGTTTAAAAAAATCATAATGTATTGACATGGCTTTAAAGTAATCTTTAAAAATATTAATTTAAAAGTACAGTTATTAAGCTTGATATTATTTTTATTAACATTTAACTTAAGCTCTTACTAACTTAACTTTATCTTATTTTATTAACTAAAACAAAAGTTGAAAGAAGAAAATTTAATCCAAAATCCAAAGTGATTTAGATCTACAAACTTTCTTAGGATTTTTTTGAAGTATGGGGCTTGTTGATTTAGTAATCATAAATCTACTTTTACTTTAGTGTGAAAGCTTCTTTAACTTTTGTCTACATAGACCATAAGTCACATAGAGTTCACATAGACTTGTAAAAAATTCTTATATTACTTTTACTCTTTTAGTTTTAGGCCTAGATCTAGATCTATAAAATTTAAATTTCATTCAGAGAAACTGCAGCATATGAAATGGGATTTCTTCATTTTAATTTTTTTTTTACAATTCTTAAAATTGGTGATACCCTAAGTAGTTTTATATTCAGCTTAGTTAAGATATCAATATTATAGTATTTCAATTAGGCCTATTAATTTTAAAAGTTTAGGATTTCATCCCATGTAGCAAGCTTTTTTTTCTACCAAGGGAGGTAACCATTATAATTTTTGACAGCTTTGATCTATTTGACCTCATTTTAAAGATTTTATTATTCTGCACGAATGCAGAGCTTATTGTAGGCATTTTTACATGAACTCAGTAAATTGTCATCGGGGCTTTCACTTAAAATAAAGCACTGGCATGTATTTAGATATTTAAAGCGTTACTTACGGCCGCCGCCTCCTCTCTGCATTCTTTCCTGTTTCGTTTCGAAAGCAATGGCCACCTGTGGCTGCAAGTTACCGCTTCGGTCGGTAATTTCAAGAAATCACCCACGAATGCCCTGAGCTGCTGGAGCAGAAATTGAGCTCAAAAGTGACGGGAAAATGTCTGTTGCAGCCAATGCAGCTGTGTTGCAAGGAGAAATGAATGCACAATCGAGAAAAACAAGATGAAAGTCACACATCGGCACGAACTTTACTAAGCTACTGTCGTTGACCCAAACCGTAGGGAAAGCCCTTGTGACGTCACTGAGCATAGTACACACGAATTTAGGGTCTTTTTGTCGCCCCTCGTTGCGGCATCGTCTGATAGCTGGAAAATACTTCTTGTTACTCGTGGAGCACACCATACTCTTTGTTCGTCTCATTTTCTGTCAATAATCATGTAATAAAATTATCGTAGAGTTCGTGTGCATGTAAAATAATTTGTAGCAATTCGTAGCTAGAGCTATCTGCACGGTCACGGCACTTTGCTATTGTTCCGACAATGCGATTAAGGAGAATTTGCAAATATATAGGCTATATTTTAAAACGGAGCCGATTCACGTTTAAATACGTTAGTGCTTACTTAATCTGATTATAATTGTTACATACGTTAATGGACAATAAACGTGAACTAAATTATATGCTCATTTTATTACTCAAACGTTTGGTATACTAACTGTCGACCCTACTCACTCGGGGCTTTAACTACTACTTTTTTTTTTTTTTTATGAATTTTAGGTCTGGTGTTTTAGCAATAGAAAAAAAAATCAAACCCACTCTGTTAAACTAAACGAAAGAAAAAAAGAAACTAATAAAAGAGCCAAAAAAAAAAAAGAAAACATTTGTTTAGAAGGGGAATATAATTTTTAGCAGCAAAAAAAAAAATGTAGGCCTATACTATAGGGCAGAGCAGAAGTGATTTAACAAAGAGTTTCTTCCAGGCATCTCTACGAAGAAAGTCTACAGCCACCCCCCACCCCCACCCCCCCCCCTCGAACGAAATGGAATTTATATAGAAAACATATACTTTAATCAGTGCCCCCCCCCCCCCCCCCCCCCTGGAGAAAAAAGTCTGGAAGAAACACTGATTGGACAAGGTCACACGCCCATGACTCAAGTATAAAGAAATATAAATTTAATGTATTAAATTTAGCTTGTTTGTAGCTCAAACGGGCAACCCACAGCCATAAATCACAAATGTTCAATCAGCTTAAAATTTTATATTGATTTTTAAAAAAATATATGCTGTTTTAAATCCTTGATTTTATAATTTAACGTAATTTCTAGAATAAAATATAATATAAAGGTTTTTTTTTCGAAAATTAACATTTTGATATAGTGTTTATTTCACTTGAAACTCTCGATTGGGCGGGGGTGGGGGAACTGATTGAAGAGGGCCTATATATTTTATATATAAAATTCTATTTCGTTCGGGGGGGGGGGGGGGGCAGGTGGGGTTGGGTGGGACGGTGCCCTTCCGATGAGACACCTGAAAGAAACTGCTTGGATATAATGATCAGGTGAAACCTAAAAGCATATTATATTAATCCACAAATAACAATACAGTTCCTCAATATTAGACTACTATATATTATATAATTCAACTGATAAATAGTATAGTCTACTATAGTATGCATGGACTGATAACTTATCATTATTTTTATATTGCACACTTATCACGCGGATCATAACTAGCACCTGATCATGATTCGCTGGGTAAAATCAAATACGAATGTGCACAAGAATACGAAATATACTGTGATGTATGTAGATTGTAAACGAATTGCTCTACACTGGCATAGGAAAGTAATATTTGATTAATTGAAAGATAATTTCGAATTAGGCCTATAATTATGATCTGTAACAAACAAATACGCACTCCACTAGATTCTAGATTATATCTAGATATATTTAATATCAATAACCACAGGATAAATTAATCAACCCCAAAAAAAGCTACTCGAGATCGTCATAGCAATTCACGCGTATATTCCAGATCTAGATGTAGATCTATAATCAATCTATACGTACGCAACATAGATCTAGTTATTTTGAGGGTATCGAAACAATATTTTTAACGAATTGTTTTCATTCAGACTGAATATTAATTAATACTTTAAGTGGGGGGGGGGGGGGGGGGGGGAGGCTCGATAAAGTAACCTATTAATAAACTACCAAATCAGGAATATTTTTAAACCGCTGTTAAAAAATCTGGCGATAACAATATAATCACTTTCATTTTAAAATGTCGGACAAGCAGCTGATTGCGTATTATTATTAGATCTAGTATTACTATTAGAGATCTAGATCTAGATCTACTTGATCTACTAGAATTCTAGTCTACATTTTAGACCTAGAGTAAATGTAGATCTGAATGAATCTTAAAGAAAAATTATGTAGATCGTAACTCTTTGAAGTTATTATACTTAGTCAACTCTACTTCTTAATTCTTAATTATTATTAAACTTGACTAAGTTCTAAGTCAAGAGTCAAGTGAAGTTAGTTTTTTAAACTTTTTTTATCAGTGTTTTCTAGGATTTTTTTTTAATTTAGTCATTTAGCCAGCCTAATGTTAAAATTTATTTATTTATTTAAAAATATTATTTAATATTTAAATTAAATTACTGAATTACTGATCTATCTACGCTCTACACACACTTTTTGACTTCAAAAATCATGAATTTAGGCCTGGGAGATTTGAGTAACTCAGTAGGAAGTGTTTTAGTGTAGTAAAGCACATTTCAAAGTTTTCTTCAAAAATGTCAAATGATTCACAAGAGATCTACCACTCGTTGTGGATTTCTGAGGTTTTTCATGATTTCCCACATTTGGATTTCCACTTTAATAATGTGAATAACTCATTTAATCCAGCTTTATCAAGTTACAAACAGGTAAGATTAAAAAAAAAATAGCAGTAGTTAGAAATAAAAATAGACGACTTTTTTTACGAGTTTTTACCCTGCATTCAGTGGGGTGAAAGATAAGCCCGGTGAAAAATGAAGGACAGAAGGGACTGATACATGGTTATCAAACCTATATTCAAATCAGTTAATTCGTATTTAACCGTGCTGAGGCTGGCCTGGCTAATGGGTGACACCTTCTGAGCCAGTGATGTCCGTAAAGAAAGAAAAAAGTTAACAGCTTCTAAAGTGGATTGGGATAGTCCTATAAGTATATTATTTGATCCCTGAGTTTATCATAGCAGAGCTAGCTAAAATAATTTAATATGTTTGTGCAAAACATTTGTTTTTATTTGAATAAATATTATTTCATATTTAAAGCTATTTACTTTAAATAAAAAATTAAACGTATTTACCTAGTCCTAATCAAATACCAAATATTGAAATAAAAATGTTAGTGGCTTTTTAAATCCGGGAAATTTTGTAAATTGTTACATTTGTCTCTTCCGTCTCAAAAAATTTCTGATACCTGGGCTAGGCCTATCTTTTTATTTTAAAATTAATTTTAGTCATGGGTAACACTGTTACTACTTACCAGTAATCGATCTACCAAACCCTTCTTAGTAGGAAACTAATTTTTTTTATAATAAGCTATAGGCCTATATATAGGCCTATATTTTTTTGCTTGACATAGTCTGATAGGATTAAAATGTTAAGAAAAAAATCACACAACATACCATCACAACAGTCACTAGCCAACTACTGGGTCACATTATAGAAATAAAAAGTTTGTTCATCAACGCAGGTTTGTATAGGCGGCACTGACATGATTCTAGATGTGACATCAAAGGTTCCATGCTAAAAAATATCAGAATACTAATACATATTATCTCGCTCTACCGCATTTTACTGTGTCATGCCATTAGCTACTGATGTCATTCACAGACAAAATCCGATTGCTAATTATATGAGTTAGGTGTATACCTAGACCTCAGCTGAACCCCTATCACTGACTCACCTAACCCCTGTGGTTTTACCAAACCCAGGTTATGAACCACTGCCCTACAGTCAATAGTATTGCTGGTTAGGCTACATTCTGGTAAAAAGTAATAATGACTACACCTGGTGTAGCTTGTTTTTTTGTAGGTCTACTCTAATATTGTTGCTATTGGTGAAAAAAAAATAATGTGACTCATGCCTGTATTTAATTTTATTGTAACACTGCCTCAGTAGGGATGATATCACCCAATGAGGTGTAGTGTTTAATTGGGCTGACCCTGAGAGATAATACACAACGAAATGACGCTTTTGTTGTTAGATCCTGGCTTTATTGCAAATCCATATATGGCTAGTTCATGAACGTCAAAGCTATAAACGGCATATAGCCCTTCATCAGTTCTACATCACCAAGTTAACCGAAGCAACTGCATAGTCCATGTCATTAGCAGTCTGCTTGGGTTTGAATACCGCGGACACAGGTACAACGTCCCAGAGGTCACATGACATGGGAACGCGGGGAACATCGCTCACAGAAGAGCATAAAAAAATACATCAATGCTTGCGGTCCAATAGGGGCCGCAACCAAATAAATTATAAATTATCCCCACTGACTTGTAACCATGGTATGTGTTACAATACGATGAACAAAAAGACAAACAAAAACCAAAGAAAATAGGAAAGAGTGTTATTTGTTAGCTTGTTCCACATTGTATTAGTCAATACTTTTTCTCATGCTTAACCTGATATAGGAAGCCTAACTAATTTATTTTAACAATGCTGCTTCAAGATATCTTGCTGTCACTATTTTGAGTCACCCCTTTGAATCCCAAGCAGAATGTCCACCCAGTTCTGATGGGTACCTGACTCACATTAGGGAAACTAAAGTAGCTGGACATAGTGCAGTGACTACATTATCCCTTGTATGCCAAGGTCAATGAAACAGATGAAATCAATTTCATCTACCCACACAAATGGGAAAAGATGATGATGAGTTTATTGGGTAGTGTTAGCTTTACCATCATAAAATAGCTGGTATTTCAAATAATTATACATTATTACTCAACCACATACTTAAGAGGTAAACTATCAGTATAGTTCAACAATCAGTTCAACAACCATTGTCATTTTCCATTAACAGTTTACTTTGTATAGAAGCCCTAACTGTTTCACTGATTCAATTCAGTTTTATATATTGGCCTCTGTTTTTTTATTTTAAAACAGGCATTGGTGTTCTGGGGTTTATCTCCAGTTGTCCTCTGTATACTGCTATGGCTGGTGTTTCTTGTGTACTTCATTTTCACTTGGTGCTGTCCGGAAAATGACAACAAAGTCAAGATTTCTTCATGCCCGAAGATTTGTACCTTTGTGCTTGTTATTCTAGGAGTGTAAGTATAGATAGTGATAATTTTGATACATATAATAACAGTTGCCTTTTTTCAACTCAAAATCTTTGATGCCACTATTTTGCCATTTTATTTGTTGAAATAAATATAGAAATCAATAAAAATAAAATTAAAATAAAACTTTTCCAGAGGTCTAATAGGATTTGGATTATATGAGAATGAGAATGGCCATCGTGCTATTGACACCGCAAAGTTGGCTGCTACAGATGGCTCGAACAGCATTAAAACTGCTTCTTTAAGGGTAAAGTTTTTAATTCACCAATTAAAACTGCTTCTTTAAGGGTAAAGTTTTTAATTCATCAATTAAAACTGCTTCTTTAAGGGTAAAGTTTTTAATTCACCAATTAAAACTGCTTCTTTAAGGGTAAAGTTTTTAATTCATCAATTAAAACTGCTTCTTTAAGGGTAAAGTTTTTAATTCACCAATTAAAACTGCTTCTTTAAGGGTAACATTTTTAATTCATCAATTAAAATGGCTTCTTTAAGGGTAAAGTTTTTAATTCATCAATTAAAACTGCCTCTTTAAGAGTAAAGAAATTTTTAAATTAACCAATTAACACATTGTTAAAAACAAAAGTATGTTACACTTAAAGAATATCAGTTATACATAGATAACAATGGTCTTACTTAAGTAAATATATATTTTTCCCATTTTAGATAAAGACTTTGGATGGTATAGCAATAGATGTTTCACAACGAATAGTAAGCGAATTACGGTTAGCTGTGTCAAATATTACAAATGAAACAGTTCGTGCCTCAGCAAATGAATCTATTGCTAACATAAACGCAGAAGCTACAAATGCTCACATCTTGATTGAATCTATAGATATAAAAGATGAAAGTAAGGAAATGGACAAGGCAATAAATATTGCAAATGATGTTGAGTATTACAGGTAAACTTATTCTTAATAAATTTTCCAGCACACTTTGAATGCTTTAGGTATATTTATCTATAATAAAAACAAAGTCATTGTTTCAACAAAGTATAAAATTGTGTGTGTTTATTTGGAATTTTAACAACATTTTGTTCATACTAGGTTTGTTTCTCCTATCATCTTGCATGCTATACTGCTCTTTAATTTGTTTAGAGTAACTCTTTATACCATAATAACTCTTGTAATAAACCGGGAATGATCTCCCCTAAACTTTCTCTAATATTCTAATATAACACTACGAGGGATGGCAACTCGGGATATAGACTTCTAGACATGATTTTTAATCCATTTTAAATACTCAAATTTTTTAAAATAGAATATAATCTCGTTGAAAAAAGAAATGGACACCAAGTGAACGCTAAATAAAGATGTGCATAATAGTGCGCAATATTATTAGTACTTTATAAATTTACATGCGTTTTTTGAGAAATCCGAAGTAGCGTAAATAAGTACTTCCGATAAACGGAAATTACTCAAAATTTGACAGAAGGTAGAGAATTAGATCTTCTACTTACATATCAAATTTCATTTATCTATCTGAAATAGTACTCAAGTTATAGGCTTTTGAAAAATTCAAAGTAGGAAAAGTACCACTTCCGGTTATCGGAAATCGCTCAAAAGTTGATACGGATCTACGATTTTGATAAAATACTTGTATATGAAATTTCATCAACCTAGCTGTAACGGTACTCAAGTTATCGTGTTTACACACGGACACACACACTGACAGAATTGGATAATCCAGTTTTTCCAACTCCATTACGCATAAAACGCCAAAATTTTTATATATCTGAGTTTATAATTTTTGCCCGATTAAAATAAGTCTTCTATATCCCGGATGTGATGAAGGACTGAGGAGTAAAACGGTGAAAACTGTCCAAATTTAATGTGATTTTTGTGCACGATTACAAGACTTTCTCTATACTTCGTATATACGAGAAAGTAAAAAGGTGTATTCTTGACATATTTCAGATGGGTGATTACAATAATTTTATATGGCATTGTGGTGTTGCTTTTTGTCATCACTGTAGTAGGGATATTACTGAGATCTACTTGCACCTTAAAGCTGTAAGTTGCTGTTACGTTAGCCTACTGTAAGAGAAATATTTATAATTTGAAAGTATTATTTGTGAGTGTCCTGCAGAATTTCAGCAGCAGATGATTAGGATAAGCTGTGTCGTCACTCAGTCTAATACAGGTTATAAATATCAACATCATAATTTATGAGGAAACTGAATTGAAAAGTTGATTTTAAAACGACTTTGTATTTGTGAAGGAAAAGATAAAAGTAAATGCCAGTGGCTGTAAGGGTTAAACAATGTTTGTTGGATGTTATATCCATTAATCCCTGGTTATGGATCCAAATATTACTCATGGGTTATGAAGGGCTAGCTTCCTATTTATTATTTTCTTAATAATTATAATATAAACACAAATATCAAGCTTACGCAAATTTTGTTTCTTCAGCTTGGCAGGATTTTTCTTCATTTGTTCTTTCTTGATTTGGATAACTACTGGTGCTTACTTGGGGGCTTCTGTGGTATGGAAAATATATCATACTTTATATTGTTATGAAATATTCAAACTTATTTTATGAAAAAATTTTGAGCCTTTCCATTACTGATTTATATTTATCCACTGTTTATAAATAGATTTAAAAAATATCTTTGTTTATTTATGACATTATTTCCACAGGCTTTAGGAGATCTATGTATGGATCCAGATTCCTACTTTATTAGTCTAGTTAAAAATGCAAAGGCAAAAGGTAAGAGACCTCAAAAAAAACTTTTTTTTGTGATTGTCTGTTTAAAATTAGTCGTTTCAAGATTTGAAAGGCAACAAAAATGTAGTGCATTGTGAATTTAATCCATCATTTTAAAAATCTGTTCAGATCTGGTTTTTATGCATCCTATTTAACATACTCTGTAGTTGACATTTATGTACAGTTGAGTAAAACTCTAGCTGTTAATGTTGTACTATCTATGAGTTTAGTTTTCTGGTAAGAAAATCCTACAAATGCAGAATTTTTTGGTTGTTTCACTCTGTTGAGATTTGTAGAATGATGAAAGCCAATGTATTTATGCAATTTCTTTTCTTTGCTCCACAGAAACAACAACAGCTTATATAAAGTGCAATGATACATCCAAACCATACCTAGAGGTAGGCCTATACTTGTTTGTATTATTTTTAACATTTCAACTACAGTTTACGACATGGTTTAACTAAAACGAGCCCACCCACAGCGTAGCATACACCGCTATTTAGTTGTTTTATTTTCTACTTTTCAGTAATTCATAATTTTTGAATTCGACACTACCAATGCTGCAACGGAAAACATTTTACTTTAAAACACTATCAGTAGCTCACCCTCCCTTGCCCCCCCCCCCCCCCCCCCCCCCCCTGTGAAAGCAGCTGTTCTTGACGACAGTTTATAGACAACAATCAGCCGAACTTGTTACCTCCCCTTAGTTTCAAAGTATTTAAAAACTGAAATATCTGCCCCTAATAGCCGTCACTGGCTCTACAATTGTAAACATTTGCCGTGAACTACAGATCACCAGACAGGTGGGGGTGGTAGCAATATGGTCTGAAAGTATATAAAAACATGTTGGTACATTTTGGCAATCTCCTGCTGATTAAGATTATAATGACTGTAAAAAAAAGTTAAATTTAAAGTTAAAATTAAATGTTATCTTTAGTCTTTTTGTGGTCAATTTTTATTTCCAGCCTATTCTCAGTGCACAGTCCTCTATAACCAAAGTTGGCTTGGAGATGGATAAACTAGTTTCGACCATAAAGCCTTACAATATACCTAATGTATGTCCTCATAGTTATATTTACTTAAGCTTGGACTTTGATTTAATTATAGATACATATTTTTAAAAAATTCACTGAATGAAATCCTAAAAACGGTTGTCTATCTAAAATATAAAATTTTTGTAATTTTTAAACCTTATTGTAAAATAATAATTGTTTGCAGTTTTGATTTAATAGAGTAATAAATAAATAGTTTGTTTAAAGAAATAAAATTGTATGCTATTATTTATGTCACAGCTGAACAAATATGTAGCAGAACTGAAAGATGACTTGGAGTTTGCCTCTGGAAATTTATCCACTTTATTAACTAATGTCGGCATATGCACTAATTTGCATCATATTTATATAAAAGGAATAAATTCAGTTTGCATCGATGGCATGTAAGTACATGAGAATGTAGTGAATCGTTGAATGCATTGTAGTTAACTCACATGTGAATTATAGTTAACTTACATGTGAATTACTGTTAACTGTTATGGACATTGTAGTTAACTCTCTTATGCTTTGTAGTTGATTCTCATGTGGTAATAAGAACAATTTAAAACTGCAAACAGCCTAGCAGCTTGTGTTGTTAGAGAAACCTATGTTTGACCTAGTCATAAAGAAAGTTCCATGTGTTTCAACGTTCTAAACTTCTCTCTAATTTCAGGACAACTTCTTCCATTTTTGTCCTGATTAGCCTGGCTCTTGCTCTCATTTGTACATTTGTAATACTTTCATTATCCTGTACTTGGAAAGAATTACGAAAAAGGAAGTAAGTAATTGTTTACAACCTGGTTTTATTCAGATATAATTATCATACATATTTCATTTAGCTTCTAATTATTAATTGATTATTGACCAGTGTGTGGTATCTTTAAAGTATATAATATTCTACAAAATTGAAAAATATCTTTTCAATTTATATATCTTTTCAATATATGGAGGAATTAAATCATAAATTGTTTACAGCTTATATTAAAAAACCTCCAGACCAAATGAAGCTTTTTGAACATTGTTTAATATAATTCTGAAATATTTTTAGACGTAGGACAAACTATGTGCCTGTGGATGACTCTGATCCATTTTTCCATTGTTTAATATAATTCTGAAATATTTTTAGACGTAGGACAAACTATGTGCCTGTGGATGACTCGGATCCATTTTTGCCTCGGCCACCAGCTTATGACATTGACTATGGAACTATGGGACGTTCAACTCCAAGACCGTGGTCAGAAAGGGGTTCACTGCAGCAAGCGTAAGTGCCAAGACTGAAAACCTGCCATTACTGCTACATTGTGTTATAAACACTAAATTATACTATATTTTTTAAAAATGTCTACAGGTCTTCCAACCAAGAAGAAAATTTTTTACCGTTGGATGACTCACCACCCCCTGCAGTATGTACCATCTTTTTTTTTTTAACATAATTGTAAATCTAAGCTAGATGGCCAACATACCTGAACTTGTAACCAATAACAAAATATGTTTAAAAATACCTGCATTCCGCAAGAAACATGGCAACATTTAAATAGTAATATGACTACTAAAACAAATAATAGGTTTTTGTAATATTTTGAGAGTTCAATAAATAGTTTAGATTAAAAATTATTTTTACACTGATCCCTAGTGTAGAATCAGTTGTTTTTTAAAGTAGGGATAATATCGACAATGTGCCGTAGTAATCTTTGAAGGTGAAAATTTACATTAGCGAATTGAACTCTAGTTTTAAAAATGCATGTCAGTATTAAAAAAGAGGCTCAGTCACAGGAAAACAGAAACTTAATAACTGGCCATCTACCCATTGATACACTTATCTCTAAAAAATAAAGGCACTCCACACTTTAAAATTGTACTCTAAAATGTTTTTGTAATAAAATTTCATAAATGATTAATTAAAAATTTGTATTAATACAAAAAAAAAAAAATTTAAATACTAAATTTTCAATAAAAAATCTGGATAATAAATTCTGCTTACCATCATTGTTTGATTGACTCATGTCATATGTACCTAGTGCTCATCACTTCCGCTGGTTTTATTTGGATCATCATTCATTTCATGGGCATTTAAAAAACTAGAACTGTCTATTCCTCCTCAGTACCATCCTGGCAAATACATAAGGAGGCCTCAAGACCCCAGCTCTGCAAGCCACTAGTATCACTTTCTAATGCCACCAGTCTACACTCATCCAAATTATAGGATAAGCCGCTGTCTGACACAAACTATAAAACTTTCCATTTAGACATAATCTGCTGATAACTTTGTCTTTCATGTACTTAAAAAAATTCTTACTTATTATAAGTAACTTCAAATACCAAGGCTTGAGATTGAATTTGTATATTATAACATTATGGAAATAATCACCAAAGATTGCTTTAAACTATTGGTAATAAGTTGATTTATAAAACATCAAAGTACTCAATTTAAACCGCCGATTAAAATGTACAGTATCTTACCAAGGTAGGTATCTACCATGACTTCCACCTTAAATTGTTGGCTGTGTTTTTTGCATCTCAGTTGTCATTAGGGTAACTCCAATAAGTTTTTTATTATGAGTTCTATTTTAAAGGTAACTCTAGAATTACAGTTCCTGCCTTATCACTAGGTTAAATTTAATTAGCAACACTTTCCTCTATGTTACAATCATGTTATATAATCCTCTAATAAGAGATAAGTACAGGGTAAATAGTTTTAATCATCACTCCGAAAAATTTTATTGACAATATTTTTAAAGCTTGAAACAATTTATTATAGTAGTGATAATAAGATAACTTGCAGTTTAAAGAGCTTAAAAGAAATACTTAATACAATTTATTGTAGATAAAGTCCAAGTATGATAATGTAGACACTCATGACATTAGGATAAATGTAACTAAATATGGTCAGGTAAATAAGGTTTGATGACATTTAGATGTGATGTGGGGAATAAGATTAGTTCTCTGTTTTGTTTTAACCATTTAAGCTTTATGTTTTTGCTTTCTAAATTTTGTGCCACAACTAGTTCAATTGCTGTTATAAGTTTTCTAACAGCTTATTGAAAAAACAACTGGATGATTCAATAGCTTTTATTTTGGAAATCTCCTTAGCAATAGTGAGATAATAACCCTTTCATTTAACAAACTAAGACTTAACAATGGTTTAACTATTACTTTAACCTGTCCAACCCTAACTCCTCAGGACAACTACTCAGCATGTGGAACTAATGATCTTAATCTTCTAGTTGAATTAGAGATGCCTCATTTCAAATGGTTTTCTTAATCATTTATCTTTATTGGAAATTTGTTTGGAAAATAAATCAATAAATCTTCCATCTTAAATGCTGAATGTATTAATGTAACTTTGTATTTTAAAACGAGATGTAAAAAAATATTGTTAGATTTTTACTGTGTTTTGGTGTTTGAAAAAAAAAATCATTTAAAAATATGTGTATTCTAATACAAAAAAATAATTATTTTCTGCAACATATCAGAGTTTGTATGTGTGTAAAAAATATTTTTTCATGCTTTACTGATGGCTTGTATATTAATGTAGAACGTTTTTGTTACCTACTCATCTTTTTAATGATTTTTATCAAGTTGTTTTACATTTTTCTGCTCCCTAAGGGTAAATAAAATTCAATTAGCACTCTGTCCAGTTGTGCCTTATTATCTTCTAATTGATTTCACATTGATTTCACTGATATCAGAGACAGCTATTGTTAAAAATTCTTCATTTCATAGAAAAAATATTCTTTTCTAAACAGGATATTTTCATTTCTAGTGACATGTATTATATTGGGTTTTATATTTAACATAATGAGATCATTTCATTAAAATAAATATTAAAACGTTTAGAATAAGCTTTTTAATGTACCCCAATCAAGGAAATAAACCCACATTTTTTTCGCTTTAAAAGTATAACTGCAACAAAAAATTAAAAGTTTTGGTCACTCAAGTATACTTTACATTTGTTACCATAACTTTTATTTTTACTATTACATCTGAAGAAATTTTGTGGTTTTTTTTTTTAGTGTTTTGTTTATGGCTACGTTTTATACTCATTTTATTTTCTACCTTTTTAATATTTCAATATCATCAAAATATAAATTTAAAAATTTGTCTGATCGTGTACACAATAGACATGAACACCAGTTCACCTGACAGATCCAATGATCTTTTCTTTTGTTATTCAATATCATATTCTCTAAATTAATTTCAATTACTAATTAATATTAATGAGTTATTCTTGCATTGTCATTGGAAATGAGCTTATCTATAAAGTTTGAAAGAACTCACTCCATTAGAAATAGGTTACAAGTTTTGATCATTAACAAAACTTCATAATACAAAATAACAGATGTAGGATTCAGTTTATTTTGGCATATACGTAGTACATTTTAAATTTTCCGATACAGGGGGTAATATATTCTGAAGACATATTGTGCCCTATATATTTATTTACTTTTATGAGAAATGAAAATGTAACGCATCTATTGTTCCTATTGTTTTGAAAAGAAAACTTATTTTAATCCTCAAAATGTAAATATAAATATTTTTGTATTTAGAATTGTAAACACTACATTTTCTGCTCAAATACATTTGAATGTACTTGTAAAAATTAAAATGTTTGATATACAATTGTTCCATGCCTGTATCTTTTATTAATTGTTTACTAGTTGAATTAAAAGAAATCCTTATAGAATGAAGATATTTTTTAATAATTAATTTTTACTTGTTTAATTACACTTTTTTAATATCCTAAACTTTTAATTTTTAGTTGTTTTTTTTTTTTAGCTATCAAAGTCATTGTGATTTCAATCCAACCATACTCATTTGAATGTGTTGATATTTTGTCTACTTATGTTATATTGAGCTTTCTAAAATATTACACATTATTTTCAAAATCTTTTTAAAGATTGTTATTTTTTGTTTGAGAAAAATGTTACAATTGAGTTTTTTTGTTTAACTGTAATGAAAGAAGAAAAACTACTGGGAGAATTATGTTGGATGTATTGAGTTTTAAAAAAAAAGAATTGTGTATATAATCTTAGTTAAGAGGTATGTAAAAAGCTTTTACAAAATGAACTTTTTAAAAATTATGAATTGTTCAGCATTGTTAAACTTTTTAAAAAATATTTTTAATACCCAAAAATGTTGAGTCTTGAAAATATGTATGAATTTATAAACTTAAGATAATTTTTTCTGAAACAAAACAATTGAACAAGATAATTTAGCAACTAAAATGATATTAAACTAACCATTTTATTTAAAGAGATGTTTTGATTCTGTATAATGTCATTGACAATTTTTCTACTCCGGGCAGCACATTTGTTCTTCATAAAAATATTTAAATTAGCAATAAGTGCAGCAAAATTGAATTATCTGTCTTAGATGGTTGCTAAGGAAGTAATGAATTATATTAACGGAGATTATTTCTCCTTGTTGGTTTTAGTTTTTAAAATTATTAATCCAAATGAACTAATAACTCTGGACTGTACCAACATGTCATACATTTTCTATGAGTGTTGTTTTTTCGTAGCCATTCATCTTCACCATCTCTCAGCAGCAACTATCAGGACTGAGAGTGGTCTTCCCTTTCGTCCTTAACTGACATGACGGCAGCTCGTTTGCTCACCCACCAAAACATGCTTCCACTTGCTAGCCCTGAACACAGCAGGAAGATAAAGTTGGTACACACTCCAGTCAATGCTGTACACACTCCAGCTAATGTTGTATAAACCTCACAACTCTAGCTAAAACAGGAAGATAAATTTGGTATACACTCCAGCCAACGTTGTACACACTTCAGCCATAAACTTTACACACCTCACTCTACTTGCTAAAACAGGAAGATAAAGTGGGTACACACTCTAGCCAATGCTGTACACACCCCAGCCAACACTGTACAAACCTCACACCAATAACTGAAACAGGAAGATTAAGTTGGTACACACACACACCTCACTCCACTTGCTAGAACAGGAAGATAAAGTTGGTACACACTCCAGCCAATGTTGTATACACCTCACAACTCTAGCTAAAACAGGAAGATAAAAGTTGGTACACACTCCAGCCAATGTTGTACACACTTCAGCCATAAACTTTACACACCTCACTCTACTTGCTAAAACAGGAAGATAAAGTTGGTACACACTCCAGCCAAAAACTATACACCAGCATATATTATTCCAAACGTGTTTTTGCTGATTTTTAAGTTTTTGTCAGGTGTTTTTTACATTTAATTGTAATCTGACAGCTACGCTGTTTGTTCATTATTGTTGTACATTTTAAACATGAATCTAATGAAATAAAAAAAATGAGCTCTAAAAATTATAATTATTTAATTCTTTATACAATTCAATTTGTTAATGCTAAGCAATTTTAACACAAAGTAAGGAAGTGTGTTTTACAGCTTTGAATTACAGTTATAGGCCCTAATTCAAGATATACATTTTAAAAGTGAGTTAGATGAAAAACTGAATGGAGGTATAAGTTACAAAAAGTTAATTCACTTCCTTTTTCATTTAAACATACCCACACCCCTTCCCAATTATTCCTTTTTTTTTTTTTTTTTTACTATCACTTGAATGTATGGATCTGTACATGTAGTTTACCACAACCAACCTATTCCTGAAGCCCCATCAAACAGATTTAATGTGAAGTGGTTTGTTAATAAAATAGAACAGTTGTGTCAGTGACTCATCCCCCCCCCCCATACCAGTCATACTTTCAAATTTGCTTCCTTGACTCAGTTTTGTTTCATAAAATCTTGAGCAGCTTTAATGGGTTGATTGTGTTGGTGAGCCTCTGACCTATTTGTGGTCTATCTTTTCAGCTTGTGGTTGTTAGTCACAAAGGTTCTGTTTGAATCAGTTTGTACTATTTTCTGTACAGCTGTAACACTTGTTCAAGTTAGACACCAATAGTGGTAGATGTAGGACACCCATGATGTCTAGCTCTACTCAGGAATTAAGCTTGTTAAGTTGTAATACTTGTTTAATTATGATAGCAATAGTGGTAGATGTATTAGGGCTCATGCTTCAGGGCACTGACATGATATAGAAGCAAGTCATTGGGTGTGTGCTGTATCAAATATTTAACTTGACTAGCTTTAGGTCACAATGCTAGTGGTTCACCTTTTTTCATACCATTTTCTGACATTCTCATTCAGCCAATTAACTTCACCGGTTGGCTTTAATATTAATATTACACCTACTTTCTAACTTTTTTTTTGAAGTTCTGAATGCCTGACAAATAAAAACGGAACCAGGGGTTAGAATGACTTTAATTAAGAATGTCAACAATTTTACAGCTAAGTCATGACAGATAAGAAATGTGCCCTAACTTAAGAAACTTACAAATGTTGATCTTTCAAAATGTGTATAGATTTAAATCAAGATTTACCATAAAATGCAAGTTGACAATTTTAAAATGTTTACAAATGACACTTACACAATACATACGTTTGAACCTGAAATTATTAAAACAGGCAGTTGTTTGCTAAATCAACAAACTGTGATTTTTAACATATTTGCAATAACGTTAAAAAAATTAAAAGTAGCTGCACCAAAATGATGAAACAGGGCTGCCTACTTGTCAGATTTTCTGCATAACTTTATGATCTTGACAGACACCAGAATGATGGTGTTTACATTCAGCTAGATCAGGGGTCTCCAAACTTTTCAGTCTGAGGGCCGCATTAACTATCAATTTTCAGTTTGGGGGCCAGTTTCTTCCAGGCATGTCTTTGATTTTTCTGGGCAAAGTTCCTCAGCCGTCACCAACAAACGTTTTTCAATGGACAAAAAGATCTCCGCGGGCCGGATGAGAGGACCTCGCGGGCCACATACGGCCCGCGGGCCGTAGTTTGGAGACCCCTGAGCTAGATAAAAATTGTTATCTGGTACTTTCTTTCCACATCAGGTAGGAAATGCTAGTAGTCTTATAGTGTGTGTGTTTGAACTCAATCTGACCTCATGAAATTTGCATTTATTCAGAATATTAATATCCAGATAAATTTGATAAGTTAACTTGCAACATAAAGTGAAATACATTATTTAAAAAAAAAGTGTTTTTAGGGCAGGCAGCCCTGTTTAAAAATGTGTTGCAATTTAAAAAGGCTTGTAAATAGGATCTATAAAAAAACCTCTTGATATAATATTTAGCACAGCACAACTAACCATACAACAGGATTCACCTTCTAGCAGTGAATCATGCCTAGAATTTGTCAAGCTATTTTTTTAAAACTACAATACCTAATTGTAACTGATTTTAAAATAAAAATGTATTAAAATGGGTTTTGTATACTCGGTTTAGTTCTATCAATACCTACATTGTTGATTAAAAAAATTAGGTTACCCTGAAAGCAGACTGGCGCTATATCTACAAAGTGATAACACATCTTTCAGCCCCAATAAACATGTGTCAGTGTTCATAATAAATAATTTTGAAAACCCTAACAAATGTCTAAAAGCAAAGCCAATGAGAACAGAAAAAAGTTTTATTCATCCAATACAGACACAGCACATGGGTAGAGAAGACAAAATGATGTACACAGAATGGATATGTTTGTTTAAAGCATCAGTGGCATACATTTTTTAAAATAAACTCGATAACTTGAGCCTAAAAAACTGTACAGACAAAAGAAATATTGTGGATAGAGGAAGTGACTGGAGTATACTGAACTAGCACTAAAAGTAGAAATATCCCTGGACAAATTGTACGCAAGTAGAATTGTAGCCTACTAGAAAAATTCTCATAAAATAAATAATTGGGGAAAATATGTACTAAAAATTTGTTTAACAAATAAGTATCCATAAAAAAAAATAACAGCAAATATATGATTTAACAAGAAAAATGCCTTGGAATAAGAAATTATTGTTCACTTCCAAAGAACATTCTCACATAAATCAGCAATATTATTTTAACATCTATATTTACATGTATCAAATATATTGATGTATATAGATAAACAATGGATGACCTGTAGAAAACTGTACAAAACCCAGTAGCGGGATCACAGGGGGTGGGGGCACGTCATTAATATTTATCACGATAACAGCCAACATCTGCCACAGGAATGCAGAAGTTGTAGGAAAATAAAGACAATTATTTTGGTCCATTATCAACACTAACAATGACAGATTCAACAGGGCTTTACTGTCAACTGCAACAAGTCTATATGACCTAGGATCTTTGCTACTAGAATTTAATGCTCTAATGAGACTTGATTCATTTGGAAAATTGAAAGTTTTGATTTTATAGTAAGATAATCAAGGAGTATTTCATTTCTAATTACATAAGGCACATAATGTCACTGATGACAAACAACATCCAAAAAGTAATTTTAAATCTTTCAATCTTTGGGAAGATAATCTTTTCAGAATCTAATTCAGAACTAACCTAACTGAACAAATACATTAGAACAAAATTATTTTAAGCAGCTCTACTGAATGTGTAGACTACACTATCTTCAATTGTTATAAATAAGTCTTCAAAAAATGGCTAATTATTAAAAATTAAACATAAAAATTAATTATAAAAACTACTGATAGATCAAAAGTTGATGTCTAACATAGCAAAGACTAATAAATTATAGCTCTTTATATTCTCAAAGCAAGATTAGGACATTCTCTAAGGGCAAGTCTGAGTGTAACATCAAATAGAATTGAAGTACATCTGTAGCAAGTATTGTACAGCCCAGTAGCCATTGTACAGCTTAGATTCACAAAAACAATGTATTTATGTCAATCCATCATGTAACAGTAACAAGCAATTATGCTTATGTTATTTTGTGTAACAAGTGTCAGTTGAGAGTATCATGTTATAGAAAAGTTCACACAAAGTATACATCAACACTTGCATGTGATACCTCAGGGACCCGCAGAACATCAGCCATGGTCAAACAGATGTAAACAACACCTGACTAACTGCAAAGATCATCAGAAGAAACCTACCCCAACCACACAATTATATTATACATGACTATGTCTTATGGCTAATTCACATAGCACAATATTTATGCAATGACATACACATTACCTAATAATGTGGTTTTTATGATCAGTGGGTATATTATGAACATTTTATCCTTGGTTCAATAAAAAACTGAGAAGAGATTTTTAGAACACAGGAGGGGAGAGTCCTGAATCAAACAGAAAAGTAAGAGCCCAAGAAGTAATCTATGACCAATGGATCTTTTACTAATGAAGAATTTACAAATGTGAAAGCCCCCCCTCCCCCCAATGTTGGCGAAGAGCTATGGTAAACTTTGAGACAGTGAAATGCAAGTACCTTTTTACCTTTTGCTATTCTACAACATAAATATAGACAAACAAAAAGGCAAATTTTTTGTGTTAAGAGCTTGTGAATGTACTATTGTTGAGCAAACATAATACTTTTTAGATGACCACACAGTTTGTACTGTTATAAAATGCCTAAACATTTTTGTTATATTGCAATTTCAATATACATACTGCAAGAGGGATAAAAGAGAGGAGCATGTTGTGAACAAGAACAAAATGTGTATTTCAAAAAGTTATAAGACAAAAAAATAAAGGATAGCTACTCAAAACAATTAACTTACACTAGCCTTTAAAAATGGGAACAGAAAAATCAAACATAAATATGCATTTTGATTAATTTACTCTTTCAACCTTAAAACTCAATTCTCACAAACTATAAATAATTATGAAATACAATGACAATTAAGTAGGCAGGAATTTAATGAAGCGATTTACTAAGATCTTTAGTTCTTTTCAATCTTTACCAGTGAAACAAGTGTGTGCTTATATTTTGAGTCCAGGGTGTATCAGAAAATTAATCAAGTTGACAGTTCTGTACAGCAATTATACAATAGCAACAAAGTCATCTAATAAACTTATTTGCATTCTCTAACATAATTTTTGGGGAAAAACCCTGTTTTGCCTCGTACTTCACCCTCCCACCAATTGGGATCACTCTTTGTTAAAAGCTTAATAACATCTCCTTTCCTCAGCTCCAATTCTTCACTGTTGGTTGGTGAAAAGTCGTACAATGCCTCGTACAGCTGTTCAAGAAATCATAATGCAATTTTAATTTTTTAAAACAGTAGCAATCATTAACTTGTATGTTATTTAATGCTTAACTTAGTAAGAGAATAAGCAAGTGAGATAAAATCCATACCTCCTGCCTGATATCCCTCAGATAAATTATTTTTCTTGGATCCCCTGAAACATTCTCTGAACGGTATTTCTCAACTAACTGGTTTATTGACAAGAATACAGAATTCGGCCATATATAAAACTTATTGTTAGAATCTGTTAAAATTTTGAAATGCTGGACTGTGTCTTCATGTCTATGTAAAAAAATAAAAAACAACAATTTAAAAAAAAAAAACCACACAACTCACAAGTAACTGCAGTTAAATAACTGTAAAAAATACTTGTAATACACGTTTATCAAAACTTCAGAATATTTGAAATGATACTTTAAAAAAAAAATCTCACAATTTTTTTAAGCAGTAAATAAACTTGCAATAGACATTATTCATCAATTAATCTAATACATTGCATGAGCATTTTAACTAGAGTGGTTGCTAAACAAATAGCTCAATGATCGGGGGAAGAAAATAACACATTAATGTTGAACAAAAAATAACTTACTTTACTGAAAGGGCAAACCCATTTTTGTCTGACTCACTCTTTCTTATAATGAAAGCACCATCATTATGTAAAAATGATCCCATAGGTGATTTTTGTAGAATAAATTTTTCTGCTTCTAATCTGGACATTGGTTCTCTATACCATCTGCAAAATTGTAAGAAATATAATACATTTATTGAACACAAATTCCTAAAAAAAAAAATGGACTTAAAACATGTACAAGTCACAAAAAAACATTTTCACAATTTCCTTAACAATTCTATTGGTTCCAAATGAGCAATAAATAGTCATCAGACAAATGAAAATGCTGATGTTAACAATAACTTCCAAAAAGAAAATAGCTTACTCATGTGGTTCTAGTTTGATATATGATGCTGGAATAAATCCAGAATGTGCTCCCATAACAGCCCTGTACCAACCACCATCTTCTTTATTCATTATCTGTATGGTAACATGAAACAATGTTTCAGATAAACAAATGCATTCAATCACACGTGAAGATACATTTTATAAGTGATTTCATGAATTATAAAAAAATGTAGTTATCATTCATTCAACAAACATCATGAATTGCAGCTACTTTAACCATTTTAAGCAGTTAAGCATATTTCTAAACATAACATGTGGGATTTTAAAATAAATATTACCTACATTGCTCCCCATATAAATAAATAGATTTGCAGCATGATATATTAACTAACTAATTTTTTTAAGGAGAGGAAATAATAAACTTTTGAATTAACTGTACAGAAATAACATTTAGTATTTAACTTTAAATAGTTAAGGAACAATAGTTTAAAGTTTATCAAGGAACAATAATTTCAATTTTAAGTTTATGACACTCAGCTACAAAATACAGGCTACTGTAAAGTCATCAGAGTCATCAAAAACATTTATTTTTTAAAAGACTTTTCTAGAACAAAGCAGCCAGTACAATTATCCCCAATCCTATCTAATTCCACAACATATTCCTGTTAAAGTTGCATATATGACCATAAATTTAATTGTTACTGTATTTATACTTTGGCCTAGCTAAAATTGAAGTAACTAGAGGTGCACATCATACGATCATTCATGTCTCACTTAAATGGGCACACTCATGCCATAAACTCAAACCACAACAGGATGTAGAATCTAGCATTTATCCCACTCATTTTGATAGAATCTAGATCAAAGTTCATATTATTTTAATGAGAACTTTACTTCCTCTCCAGTACTTTGCTCATCTGATATAATTAATATTCATGTGAGCCTGGGTACCAAACTTTGATTTACACATTCCGATAACTCAATTTCATTGTTCTTCAGTAAGACATCACAAAAAAATTAATTCAACACTATCACTTAATTTAGAAACAGAAAAAATTAAATAACTGGCCAAATATTAGTAAGCCAAATGTAGTAGGTAGAGATGAAGCTACATCTGTCTACAGAATTTATGTTTAAATATTTAGGATCCAATCTTTAAAAACATAGTGTTTGTTTTTTTATTTAGGCCTAATTATAATGTTTTCAATCATTCAGTTCAATTTATGTTAGGCCAATTTTCTATGAAGTGGGAGTTTTCAGCATATCTATCACTGAGTTCCTGTAAACCCAATCAATGTTTTACAAAATTAAATGTCAGGTTCTAACTTAGGATTGATGAAAATAAATAGGAACTACTCAAATCGGTAATTATCAACTTCTCTAAATTTGAAACTTTTATATCATTGATTCTAAAAATATAGGCCTAGGCCTAAAATTTCTGAATTATTTTTAAGCTTCAGTTTTTTAAAATTTGTTGAGGCCTAAGCCCTAAGCCTATACCTCAGCTTTGATGGCAGTCTTGAAAAAAAAAACATGATTTGTATCCATGTCAATAATGATAATGTAATGGGTTATGGAATCATGGTCAACTCATTCATTGATGTCCATAAAGTAAGGCAAGGTCAGGGAATAGTTTAGTTTAGTTAGAGTGATAGGCCTTTTCTAATTAGCCTAGCTAGGCCTAAATGAAATTCTAGGCCTAAATAAAATTATTTAATAACTTTTCAAAATGAAATAAATTTTAATCTTTATGCCTTGTAATAGTCTATATATATATAACTTCTTATAGTGGTAATTCCATATGTACAGTCTTTGGACTAGATGAATTATTCTTAATCTTTAGAGTACCCAAGTTGAGCAACCAGGAAGTTCGTTGAATGATCTATTTTTAATTTGGAATTTATGCTTTGGTAAATGTCAGTCAGTGTCACTTCCAAGGGGAAAAATAGCTTTTGTATAAGCTGACGAGATTCTAAAAGATTCTCACTTATGTTATAAATTTCAACAAACAACTTTTAAACAACATGAAATAAACACTGATTTCACTTACGCAAAGCTTACTGTTCTTTTTAAAACTCATTTCATCTGGCTGGGTAGCCTCAAAATCCCATAGCGCCACGGCCTCCATTTTTTGTCGGTATGCAGAGTATGCTACTGCCACCTGTATCGTGTGTATAAGAATAAAATGAATGCGCTTGTACAAAGTCTCTGTTAATTACAAATTGATAAAAAGATTCTTTCTTAACGGAGTTTATAATTATGATTAGTAATATAATAATAATGAAGGATTAAAAATAATGGCTGTAAACTATACTTACTTAACGAGTAGCAGTAAAACATAGAATATGTGAATGTGTAGTTAAAACAAAGATAAAAATAAATTCTGCGCAATAATATTAAGCGGTGTATACGTAGCATATAGCGTCCACATTTTGCACGGAATAAATAAACCTACATTGTTTATTATAACGTTTCTCATTAACCTAAATTAATTGTTGACGGTACTTGTAAAAGTGTCAAGGGAAATAATGAAATAAGCGATTTTCCTTATCATCGTTAACCCGATCGTGCTCATGACTCAAATAATAATTATATGTCGTAGAAGAAAAAAAAAGTTTAGCTTCATCTGCATATCACCCTTTCAAAAAAATGTAGGCTTATCCTCAAGTAGATCTAGATCTACTTTCAAATAACAATTATTGCACTCACTCTATTATACAAGCACTTAAAAAAATCAAATTCCAAATTTATAGTTTAGGCTACATAAGGGATCGTACATAAATGACGTCACACTCGTAGGGGGTCCGTAATTTTGTGACGGTGTGTGATGAGGGGGAGGGGGGAGTTCAGATGGTGTGACGTCACGCTTTTGCATTATAAAAAAGCAATGTTAGAAAATGAATTTTAGCCCTTATTTCAAGTTTTAGAAAACTTAATAAATTGTGTGTTATAGAGCTGGACTGCTAACCCGTAAGTCTCGAGTTCGAATCCGGGTTCACTAGACCGTCCCTGAGTCCACCCAACTGGTCTGTGATGGGTACCAAACTCACGTTAGAGAAAGTAAAAGCGGCTGGGCATAGTGCTGACCACCAGATGCGTAACGAGGGGGGCGGGGGGGGGGGGGGCGGACCGCACCGGGTGACACCATTTAAGGGGGTGACACCAAGGCAAAAAATAGCAAAATATATAGAGAACAATTTGAGGGGGAGGTGCAAATCGAAAGTTTGAGGGGGGGGGGTGCAAATCGAAAATTGAAAGTTTGTCCCCGGGAAGGGTGGCTACGCCTCTGGGGGGGGGGGGGGGGTGACACCATCAAGTGCCGCACCGGGTAACACCCGACCTCGCTACGCCACTGCTGACCACACTATCTCTTTATATGCCGAGGCCACAGAAACAAGTGCCCTACAGACCGTCAGGCTTGGAAGGGAACTTTATTAAAAAAAATTAATAAATAAACTGTAATAGGAATTGATTAAAATACTTTATGATGACAGAGTTCACACAAGATTTTGGGAAAATATCAATGCTTTAAGAAAAATTCAACTGCAATTTTGGAGGGGGTTGTAGGCTGGCGATGTGTGACGGAGGGGAGGGGGACGTCAAAATCGGCAAAAAAGCGTGACGTCATTTATGGATGACCCCCTAAATACTAATGCACCTGTATTATTTCGGAAAATAAGTTTAGCGTTTCAGTACTAGGTTAGGTTCCATTCGTGTGAACTGAATGCTTTACGATATATTGTTTTTTTAAAAAATAAATTGTTTAATAAATAACGTTACGCACACTATGGATTTTGGAGAGGCGGCATTTAGTGATTATGTAATATATATGTCCAGGTGGATGGTGACTTATTGGGTGTTTAGGAATTTTACACTATTAATGAATAATGAGCGAAAAATGTACTATTTTAACAATTATTTTAATAATTTGAGTTAACGTCGAATCGCAATGCATATAATAAAATTGTTTTTCGTCGAATATTAAAATATGTCAATAAATTACTGGATATTTGTTAAGCTTTACACCGTTAGCCCTCTATGATAAACACTGCACAGCTGACTGTCGTTTACGCATGTCTGCTAAAACGAAAGTCAGTGAACGTAGATCACGATCAGGGCCTACGTTATAGAAATGTCTAAAACTATACCATCAACAATCAGTCACGAATCTTTTGTTTTTAAGTATGCTTTGTCTGCCACTTCAGCTGTAATAGCAGAATCTGGTATTTGATTTTATTTGTGTAAAGTACAAAAGTAATAGTAATGATTAATTATATAATAATAGCGTGTATTTCGAAAATTGAAAAATTCGTTATTTTCGGGAGGAAAAGATACCGATCGACGCGTAATTTTTTACTGAAACTACTTTTTATACTCTGTGTGTGTCTAGCAAAAGTTTATTTAGCCTATTTCGATTTTAAAATTTTTGTGTTTATAAAAAATTTGGATTAACCTGCCACCATTATTTTTCCTCTTACATTAAAAAAAAAAGTGTCTCCGATATTGGTAGTACACAACTTGATGACGTCATACGCGTCAAATTATATTTTCGGACTTTTCGTCATTTTACTATAAATTGTTAATGTAGTATTTTATTATGAGTTAGACTTATCAAAATTATATTTACTATACACAGCTAGGCCTATTAATATTTGAATAAATTATTAGGCATAGGCCTACTGAAAACTTGAATTACCACCATGTAGTAGTAGCAAAATATTTTTTTTTTTATTATTAGATTTTAACATTTGTGTAAGGCCCTACATGACCAACAATTTCATACCAATACCATTGTCTAAAATAGTGAAAATGTTATAATATAGTTTATATAGGCCCTCTACAAAGGTATTCAGCTGCTTCTTATAGTTAGGCCTATAGATTATCAATATTATTAACCTTGCTTGAACACATTATAGTAAGTTATAAAAATTCATCAGTTAAGCTAGTGATACTAATTAATGGAACCATTATCTCTCACTATGATTATTTATTCATTCTAAATATTTAATATGTAATTTGGTGTCTAATAAAAATATATATATATTTATTTATTGACTGCTTACTTCCAATTACTGTTGTTGCACTGTGAATTGCGCAAGTCTAGAGAAAAAACTTCAGCATAAGCTTATTTTATCAGAACATGTATATGAAGGCTTACTCATTGCAAGTTGTTTTTTTCTAGACATGTATAGTATTCATGTGGTAAGTGCAAACATGGTGTTGCTCTGACAGATCCACCAGTATAATTTCTTATACAAGACCTGGTTTCAAATTAAAACAAAAGATAAAAATAAAAAGAACCAAAATGGTTTGCTTTCCAAAAAATATTTATTTATTAGATTTAGATGCAATCATATAAATTTCAATTATCAATGAAAAGAACAAAGTAATAATGGGTTTAAGTTTAAGGTGTGAGTACAACAAAGTGATTTATATAACATGTTTTAGTTGATGCAAATTAAAAAATGATCAGGTTGAATGAAAGTCATCAGTCCAGGAAAGATACAAAAATCTGCAAAGAAAAAAAAAGTTATTTGATTTGTTTACACTATACTGTGTATCAAATTAGAATACCATAAGTAAAATATAAAAAAAAAAAGATTAAAAACATAATACCATCTCATTACATACCAACCTTTATTTTTTAACAAAAAATTTAGTGCACTTTTGAAAAAATAGAAATTATATACATATTGTAAAGATATAAATATTGCAATCATTGCATGTAACTGTAAACATAAAAATATATAACAAAGGAACAAAGCAAATTTAAAATGAAACATTAATTATTTTTTAAAGCTCAAATTTTTAATAATCATGCTGTCCAAGGATTAACAGCAGATTAGGATGTAAAGCAGAGATACTACTAATCTAGTCAGCTATTAGTGATTCAGCAGGTAGGCAAAAGTCCTCAGCTTCATCCTCATCCGGTGCCCAGTAGCATACAGTGTAGACAACAGACTTGTTCTTTTTAGCTAGTACTAGTACTCTGTTAATAATCCTCACATAATAGCGATGCACTTTCTGATCATCTAGCTCCCACTTGTCAGTCAGCTGGACACCAACCAGGTCTTTACCACCCACTATTCTTGACAAAGAGGGTTTCCGCTTCTGTCAACACCACAAAATAGGGGATGGTTTACTGAGACATTCGATCCAGACAACACATCATAGATGGAATTTTCAGTATCTCTGCGTTCCATAGCTTCCAACTTTTTCTTCATCTGCTTTATTCGAGATTGAATGTCTGTGTCTATTTTGTGCTGTAACTGGTTTGTGTCGATGACCCTGTCAAACTCCTCAATCAGTTTGAGATTCTCTGCATGAACAATGTCATTCTTTACTGAGATCTTGACCCTTTCTCCTCTTAAAGCATCATCTATCTCCTTCAATACTCTGTCATTGTCAGCAAATCCATCTCCCATTTAACACTATCAATCTTGGTTCTCAATTCTCTTGCTGAAGATGTCCAGTTGTTCTTTGAAACCTAACCTGCAATTTAGCATATTTTATGTTTGAAATCATCAATAACTTACCCTTTCATGCTGTTTCTGCACCAGCCAATACCTGCTTTGACATCTGTTTTTTTTTTCTTTTATGTAAAATACTTCCTCTTCCAACACTGGATCTGTGTCTGCTTTCTCTGCAATGATTTAGTATCTTTTCTTAGTTTACTTATTGTAGAAAAATATGAATTATAAAGGAAGTTCTGTGCAACTGTATTTTATAGCTGTAAGTTGATGAATCAAGTCATGACTTAGTATACTAAAATAAACAATTAGTGTTAGAAAAAAGTCTGTTACATTAGTAGTCTATTACAAATTACTTACTTAATCCTCATCACTCCCTGTGGACTATAGGGCAGCAACAAATCCCTGCCATTCCACTCTGTCCTGGGCGAGCCACTTGTGTTCATGCCAAGTCTTGCCAGCAGCTTGCACTTCTTCTTCCATCTCTCTCCTCCATGTTCCCAGTGGTCTTCCCCTCTTTCGTTTTCCAGTGCCATGTTGGGGGAGTCATCTTTTGCTCATGCGTAGGACATGGCCCAGCCATCTCCATCTCCTCATTCGAACTTCTGAAAATGCATTTGGAAAATTTAGATATAGATATCTAAGCATAAGGTTTATTTTAAAATAAATAGACTAGGCCTACTAGGTTTATTTCACACACAAAAAAAACCATTTGTTTTTAAAATTGTGAGTCTAGTAAAAAGTTACTATTGTTTAGAGTTTAGAGTAGAGGTAAGTTAGAACTAGATCTAGATTTAATTACTTAACACTAAATAGGTAGATCTATAATTAAAAGTAGTCTATAATTAATAATTAGGTAAATAATTATGATCACTTAAAGTACTGTCACTTATCAGAAAGACTAACCGTGATTCCGATGGCTGAATGATTTCTCACTCAGATTTCTATCAAAGCGCTGCAAGACCACAGACTGAAAAAAAAAAAAGTAGATTAGAGATTCTAGAATCTAGAGTCTATATCTAGAAAATTAGATTAATTTTTTAACAGAGATCTAGATCTTCTAAAATAATTTAGATTAGGCTTATACTTAATTGTACTATAGAATATGTATAGAATAAAGAATCTACATCATCTAGAATCTAGATCTAGAATCTAGATCTATTTATTAAATCTAGAGATTCTAGGTTTCATAAATTGATCTAGTGATAGTGATCTAGCCTCTCCTAGTGATCTAGTCTAGAGTCTAGCTTGACGATCATCTGGATCTAATCTAGAATCTAATTCTAAGAATCTAGACTAGATTCTAGATCTAGATTAGAATGATAGAATCTCTAGATCTAGATCTGGATTTAGATTTCTAGATCTCTAAATCTAGATCTAGACTAGAGTCTAGATGATAATCTAGATCTAGAAATTCTAGGTCTAGTCTAGCTAGATCTAAATCTACCTAATGACACTATTAAACCTTATTACTTTTTTTCGTAAAATAGTTTTTTTTTAATAATGCTATTTTTAAAAAACTTATTACATATACAATATTTTTGAAATCTTTTTAAAATAATGGCGGCTACAAAGCTATCGATTCAGACTTTGCAGGTACATTTAAACGACTTGTTGGTGGGAAATTAGGTAAAATCACGATATAGCGTCGGAAATTATTGGGTAATGTTCGTTGAGTTTCGGTAACATTCGTTACTGTAAACCATAGTTTATTTGACTGTTGAAAGAAAAATAAAGTCAAGTGCATTAAATTAATGTTTTAACTTAATTTAATGTTTAACTGACAAAAAATTAGCAACAATTAGTAAATCTAAATATTATTAATAAAGTCGAGTGTAGTAATTAATGTCTTTTTTTAAGAAACAAAAAATCTGCAGAAGATTTGCGACAACCAGCTCTAGACTCTAGTTCTGTTAGTAAATAAGACGATTAGATTTACTAAAGTTAAAAGTAGTAAGAATAACTAGAATAATGTTTAGTAGCAGCAATAATTAGCACATACACTTAAAATAATTAGAAATACAAAATAATTAGCAAAACAGTATTTAAAATGCAACTAAAATCAATCCACGCACATTTTACAACATTATGTATTAAAAATAATATGGCGGCAAATAAATGATGGTTTACAGTATTTCCGGTGGTTTCCGGAACGGCTCGACAGACTACGCCATAGTTTTACTGTTTTTTTACTGCTGTGCAGTTCCGGAATAATAACCGACGCTATATCGTGATTTTACCGGAAATTAGCCGTTTTCAGACTTAATTTAAAGAAAATTTGCAAAACTCTGTCGAACTACCAAAATTTTAAAAAGAACTGGAATCTAATTCAAATAGAAAAAAAATGATGAAATTACCTCTATTTTTGACAGCAATATTCCGAAGAAAGAAAAACTAAATTAATAAATATCGTCCGCCAAAAAATTTTCCAATATGTCAAGTAAACCCGAAAGGCAGAGAGCGTCAACGAAATGCCGGTTGGAACAAGCCGTTAGTCTATTTTTAGACTCACGCGCGGCGGTGGCGGAAGCCTGGGACAAAAAGCGAAAAGGGAAGTCAGCGCCATTTCCAAAATGGTTGCCCTTAGAAATTACGATGCCGTAATACACGCTAATAATAATATATAAATTAGTAAAATTACAATCTAGATTTCAAATTTCTAACTAAAAAAATCTAAATTATTCTAAATGACAAATGTAAATGATGATATGAGTATGAGGTAGGCCTAAAAAATTACAAAAAGAAAAACAAAAAGGCTTATTTATAATATTAATAATATAATAATATGCGGCTATGCCTTCACTACACTACTATTAATACTTAATACTACATACTACATTGTTATAACTGGGTTCTATATGTGTACCACAGTTATGCAGTAAGAGGGTAGAACTACCTGATCCAATATATATCGGACAGCTTGAACAAACTATACTAAAACGGGACAACCTAACCCTAACATAACATGAACAAGACTAATTCCAACTTCTTCCCCGGCAACAATGAACTCACACTAAAACATCACTTTCTTGCGTACTGCGTCACACTTTCACTCGTTCAATATTATCGCTTCGCACCAGCCTTCATGCGCACCAATTTATCTAGTGAAACATACATCATAACATACATTACTTATTATTAAGTTATTATTAGGCCTACTACTAACTATAAATTAATCTTCTAGTAAGTTCCTATCTAGATCTAATAAAAAATACTATAAACTACCCTATTTTTTAGTATTGCAATAGAAGTAGACCTACTTGAGTTAACTAGAGTATCCATGCATTCTAATCTATAAAAGTTCCCTTTTAAACCTGATTAGGACTATAGGGCAAGTGAAGTAGTTCACTTGTTTCTGTGATCTCGGCATATGAAGAGATAGTGTGGTCAGCACTATGCCCAGGCGCCTTTACTTTCCCTAACGGCGAACGGAAGTGAGGTACCCATCAGAGTTGGGTGGACTCATGGACAGTCTACTGAACCCCGATTCGAACTCGAGACTTACGGGTTAGCAGTCCAGCTCATTCTAATCTATGGGCTTATCTAGATAGTAAGTATTACATTACTTATAGGGACTGCCCAATACAAAAATACTACTGGGCAGTCCCTATATTTAGGAATACAATAGTAGGCCTGTAGTACGAAAAAAATAATGAGTTATAGGCCCTGTCATGCTTAAGTCAAATAATACCATTTTATTTTATATCAACAGTAACATATCCTCTTGATTTAACTAAGACACGATTGCAGATTCAAGGAGAAGCTACTCACTCGTTGAGCAGTGCAGCAAAACATATGCACCGTGGCATGATTGCTACAGCTGTTGGTATAGGTAGGTCCATATTAAACTTAGTTTCAGCTTTTTCTTATTAAGCCTAAAACTACACACAGCGAATTTGGTATGTTACTTCCAGAGGCATAGCTAGGGGACGGAGGGTGGGGTGGCAACCCCGGGGCGCAGACTCTTAGGGGGCTCCAAACAGGGTAGGCAAAGATGTAAAAGTTAATTCAGAACAGCATTACCGAATTACACAGTTTGAGTTTAAATAAAATAGTCTGCTACCTGGCTTTACAGACTGATTTAACAGTTTTTCACCTATCTGAATAACTATATACACAAATGTGGGGGGGGGCATGATTGATAGTTTGCCCCAGACGCAGGAATGGATCGCTATGCCTCTATTTACTTCACTTTAATTTTTAAAATCATTATTAATACTAAAATGAAACATATTCTTTGTGCTTACTCTAACCCTAAAATAACTCCTTTGAACATAATGGTGCTGTTTTAAACCCAACAACCCAAGTTGACTACCCTAATCAGCTCATAATTCTGTCGGAGAGAGATATTTTTTATTGCTTAGCTGATGGAATTGAGAAAGAAATTACAATTATTAAAATAGAATCAAAAGCATGTCCAAATTTCTTTTCTAGCAAAAGAAGAGGGTGTGAGAAAACTCTGGCAAGGTGTAACACCAGCTCTTTATAGACACATAGGTAACAGTTTTTATTGATAGACACATAGGTAACAGTTTTTATTGATAGACACATAGGTAACAGTATTTATTGATAGATACATAGGTAACAGTTTTTATTTTTATGTGTTAGGTTGATTGTAATTAGGCAGTGTGATCTTCTCTTGAAATAAAAAGTTTAGTTTGTCTATTGATTATTGTAAAATATTTAAAAAAAATTCTTTCCAGTTTACTCTGGTAGTCGTATGAGCTTCTATGAAGTACTGAGAGAGAGAGTTTTTAAGAAGAGTAAAGATGGAACTTTTCCTGTGTGGTAAAGTCAGCAACTTTCTTACTCTAACTGAGAATTCTTAAATAGGGTTTCTTACACCATTAAATGTTACTTGACCACCCAACATCACTTGACCACCCAACATCACTTGACCACCCAACATCACTTGACCACCCAACATTACTTTACCACCCAACAATACATGTCCACCCAACATTACATGTCCACCCAACATCACTTGACCACCCAAAATCACTTGACCATCCAACATTACTTGACCACCCAACATCACTTGACCACCCAACATCACTTGACCACCCAACATTACATGACCACCCAACATTACTTGACCACCCAACATTACATGACCACCCAACATTACTTGACCACCCAACATCACTTGACCACCCAACATCACTTGACCACCCAACATCACTTGACCACCCAACATCACTTGACCACCCAACATCACTTGACCGCCCAACATCACTTGACCACCCAACATCACTTGACCACCCAACATCACTTGACCACCCAACATCACTTGACCACCCAACATCACTTGACCACCCAACATCACTTGACCAACCAACATCACTTGACCACCCAACATCACTTGACCACCCAACATCACTTGACCACCCAACATCACTTGACCACCCAACATTACTTGACCACCCAACATTACTTGACCACCCAACATTACATGACCACCCAACATCACTTGACCACCCAACATCACTTGACCACCCAACATCACTTGACCACCCAACATCACTTGACCACCCAACATCACTTGACCACCCAACATCACTTGACCACCCAACATCACTTGACCACCCAACATCACTTGACCACCCAACATCACTTGACCACCCAACATCACTTGACCACCCAACATCACTTGACCACCCAACATCACTTGACCACCCAACATCACTTGACCACCCAACATCACTTGACCACCCAACATCACTTGACCACCCAACATCACTTGACCACCCAACATCACTTGACCACCCAACATCACTTTACTAAACTCTTACCACCCAACATCACTTGACCACCCAACATCACTTGACCACCCAACATCACTTGACCACCCAACATCACTTGACCACCCAACATTACCTGACCACAGGAAGGCTTCGCTGTCTGGTCTGTTGGCTGGTGCTGGCGGACAGTTCCTGTCAAGCCCAGCAGACCTTGTAAAGGTTCAGATGCAGATGGAAGGAAGAAGACGGTTGGAAGGAAAACCTCCCAGGTTCATTTTGTTCTGACAAACTTCAATTAGTCTATAATCTCACATCTGCTTGTAGATGTTACAAAACTTGCAAATTTCACTTAGTCTATAATCTCACATCTGCCTGTCAGATGTTATAAAACTTGCAAATAAAATGTCACAGAATTTAAATAAGCATATTCATATTTAAGCTTAACTTAAATATACCTCAATGTTTAATAATTTTACATAATGATTCCAACATGTGATATGAAATAACATAGCTAAAATTCACCCACATGTAAAATATCAGTAAACAACTTCAAAGATGAACATAACAAAAACTGAACACATTGACTTTTTTCATAGGGTGAAAAATACAGCACACGCCTTCCGTATGATCTTAGCAGAAGGCGGCATACGAGGTCTTTGGTGTGGCTGGGTACCCAATGTTCAAAGAGCTGCCTTGGTCAATTTAGGAGGTCATTTTTATCTAGTCTAGATTAGTCAAGGTCTTAATGCCCTCGATATTTTCATTAAAAAGTTTAAAAAAAATATATTTAAATACTATATTTGCTTATGATCAAGTTGAGTTTTAGTGTTGACGCACATATACTGTTGAAGTAATATTGCTCTTTTGCTTGATGTCCAACTGCTTTTGAATAAATAGTTGAAACTGTTCCCAGACTTAGCAACCTATGACACAGCCAAGCATACAATACTGACCAGAACTAATCTGAAGGACAACCATCTGACACACACTATGGCAAGGTAAAAGCTTTATTGTTTACAGTTAATTAATTTTTTATGTGGCTCTATTGTGTAATTAACACATTTTATTTACTGTTCATTGGCTCAACACATTGTAAAACTTTCATTAAAAAAATGCTAGTTTAGTAAGTCATTAAAGTTATGGGAAATTGTATGTGTAAAGTTAAAGACTCAATGAGTTTTGTGAGAATTTAGTGTCAGTTTCATTGGCTATAGATCAGACTTGCCTTAGATTCACTAATGATATACCAGACTTGCCTTAATGGTACCAAGTGTTGTAGTGCTAGACAGATAGCCATCCTGTTCACATAGTTTATCCTATCTATCCTTGTTCAGGTCTAGTGTAGATTGAAATGACTAAATTGTAAAATATATTCTCAGTGTTTGTTCAGGTCTAGTGAAGATTGAAATGACTAAATTGTAAAATATATTCTCAGTGCTTGTTCAGGTCTAGTAGCAGCTCTGATGGGCACACCAGCAGATGTTGTGAAGACAAGGATAATGAATCAGCCAACTAAAGATGGCAAGTAAGTCATCCTTGTTTAATAGCTGTCCATACCCAACCAAAAGAATTATAGCCTTGTATAAAATGTTAGTCTCCCCCCCCCCCCAGTGTCCCACCTCCTGTATAAAAGTTTAGTCTCCCCCCCCCCCCACACCATGTCCCATCTCCTGTATAAAATGTTCTGTTTATATTCCCAGGGGTTTGTTGTACTCAGGTTCTGTGGACTGTCTCATTAAAACTGTCAAGCAGGAAGGTTTCTTGGCCTTGTATAAGGGACTTGTACCCATCTGGGCCAGAATGGTAAACCTTTATTTTTCTTAAAGCAAGTTTAAAGACAATAAAAATGGTTGCGATTGACTTGATGTTGTTTACTTGTTAAATCTTCTAGGCGCCGTGGTCCTTGGTGTTCTGGTTGTCGTATGAGGAGGTTAGGAAGTTGACTGGCACATCCTCATTTTAAGCTGTATCTGGTTGATGACTAAAGGGAGTTATCCCCGGCTAGCTGACTGAAGGGACTTAACCCTGCCAGCTGACTGAAGGGAGTTAACCCAGCTAGCTGACTGAACGACTTAATCTAATTGTGTATGAGCTTCATGTAGAAGGGAAACAACTCTAGGCATGTGATAAAACTTGTTATTTGTTATAAGATTCATATCTGTTTAGTATTTTTATACAATGCCATATATATGATAAACATATCAAAGAATTAATTTATTGTGTATTACATTTTGTTATTTATAAAAGAAATATTTGTGTAAACATTAAAACCTGTGTTTGTATCAGGCTAAACATTTACATCTTAACTCTCTAATACTGATTGAAACCCCCAATCTAATCCATGATTTTGGACATACTTTTCTTTCCTATGAGTGAAAACTTACAAAAAATTGTTTATCAACAGAATTAAAATTATTTTCTTGCATAAAGTTTCTCAAATTTATCCTTGATTGTAGAGCATTTAATTACAAATATTTTAGATAAATAATGAATTGGTTTTAAATAAATCCAAGAAAAGCTATGTGTTTTTGCAGTTTAGGTGCTGAATAAAATCTAGGGGGAAATAATAATTCAAGTGGAGCATGAAGATTACCTCAGTTATAAAAACTAATTGATTTGTGGGACATTTATGTTTTTGATTAAATCATTCACCTGATGAAAATCTCAGGAAATTCCTTCAACAAGTGTGAACTGTTTATTTACGTAATGGCAGTTGTTAGGTTTTGACTTAAAGCTTGCTGTGCAGAATCTCAGTGATTTAATACCTCAGGTAGTTTAGCTGATGTTTTTTTTTTTTTTTTTTGTAGGCTGCTGACTAGTAAAATTGTGACTGTTACATTAAAAGAAAAATTATTTTTGTTGAACTTAATTGAATCAGCCTACGCAAATGTTACAATGTGTATGTGTTGGTTGGCTGTTACACCAGATGTCAATCTCATATACATGGGTTTATGAAAGAATTTAGCTGTTGTGTATAAGACATGAATCCAGCTGAGTATAGGCATATATCACATTCATGTAGCTGCAGTTTATATCACACAAAACTCAGTTTATATTTTCATTTCTTTGTATTGTAAGCCATTGGGAAAATTACAGTAAAGAAATTTGATGTAAGTTCCACTGAGTATTGTGATGATACCTTGATCATGTAAACATTTGATTGTTGATGCCTTGTTGAATACATTTATTTGCATTTCTACTCTAGTGTTATTTTTAAAAATATTATTGTTATCAATTTTGAATGTAATCGAGAAGTGCATCTCATGTTAGCTGAAAGTGTACAATATAAAACTTTGTGTAGCAAAAGAATTCATGCGGCCGTTGTGATTTAACCTGTGATACTTACGCCATTGTTCTTTCTGGCATGCTAGGTCTTGGGTTTCTCTGTGAGTATTTGAACTGTGTGATGGTTTAAACAAATGATTTAACTCTAGCATTTAGCTGACACTACAGTTGCTGATTGTGCTAAGGTTGTTTTTTAGTGGCCTTGTGAACATCCTCCAATCAATTTGTTTATTACAGCTCACACCGTGTAAAGCCAGCCAATCAAAAACATCTATGTTTGTATCTGTAACGTTGCAAAAATAAAATATTTTTCGATGTAGGCCTAAGTGTTGATTTTGTAGCCTCGACTTTATCACCCCCCCCCCCCCCACCCCGAAGAGATACCTGAAAGGAACGGCCCATGGGGGTGGGGGGGGGGCTGTAGCTTTTCCTTAAAACCTGCATACGCCATTAGAAATTGTTATACATTGTTAGTACACGTATTAGCATTCCCCCTTCCCCTTTGTAATTGTTTTTCTAGTTCTTTCAACATTTTATTGTTGTAATACGAAAGTTGTGTTTTTTGGTGAACTGTGCCGCCATTATCCATGTAAACCAGGAGACATTTTTGTTATTGTATTTACTGAAGTGAGATGAAGCGCAGGTGATCTGTCCCTCCGGCGCTGCGCATAAACCGGAAGTGAGCAGCCAATCAGCTGCGTCATTGATATCATCTAACCCTGGGTGCCAAACGTGCAGTTTTTCTGTGGTCTGCGGCTGCGCCGAATGATGTAAACAAAGTGCGACTGTTATCCGGAAGCGACGACTTAAAGTTAATCCCTGCCTGTCTTTTTTCAACTAACTTTCGCCTTTTTCTTTTTTAATTATTGTTCAATAATTTTGATATATATATAATTTTGGTTTTAATACGCCTATCGATTTCTTAGTTTATTTATTCAAACAAAACCATAATTTACAGATCTCGTATTCTTGTCACTACATAGTAACGTCGTAGAACATATTAAGTCATAAGCGGGTTAGCGGGCCCATTTAGGTAACTTTTTTTCTCGGGGGGGGGGGGGGGGGGGAGCGGACACTGATAAAAGTATGTTTTCTATATACATTCCATTTCGTGCGGGGAGGGGGGGGGCGGTAGACTTTCTTCGGGGGTGGGGACGGGGGGTGAAGCCATCGACCTCAAATAGGTGGACCTTTTTGCCCAACCCCCGTATGCAGAAGACCACAAAAATGGCATTATGTTTTTGCTGCTAGAGATAAAATATCAATGGCATTAAGTGTTTTCTACCAGACAATAGGAATGGCATTTAGCGACAGGCAAGACCAAAACAAGTGGTGGGCACATACCCATCAAACAGTGCTGGATTAAAGGCGCCCCCCACCCCTGCACACACCGCGCCTTTTTAAAGCTCACGATATGATAAACTAATCACTCGTTGGCACGTTCACTTGGCTTTTATTGAAATTCGCAATCAAAATAAATTTAACTTTAAGAAATGTTTTTATTTTTAAAAAGATCCGGAACAGTGGTTATCAAGTTGTGATGAACAAAACAATTAAACTAACTTTAAACGATAGTGAAAAAGTAATATATATTAGATAGGCCTACTTTTTATTTAATCTACTCCTTATGAGTGTAGATTAGTCGAATACAAATTCTTCTAACACCATCCAAATGTATGACGTATCACTAAGGACCTGTTGGTTCACTCGCATGTTCTGGTGTTCAAGGCGGTGTTTTCTTAGCGACACCACTGACATCACTCGACAAAACAATGTAGTTGCTAACTTGGTCAGCAGTTCTCAAGTTCTGGAACCTGCGGCCACGTGTAGCTGACAGGCTGATGTAGAATACCAGAACTAAAAGATCGCTCTAGGCGGCTTACTATTGTGTTCTTCCTGCCATCTTTCAGGACGAAATAGAGAAAATATGTACACTTATTAGAAAATATGCACTGGCGACCATCCCCCCAACCCCGAAATAAAATCAGTGTTTCTTCCAGACTTTTTTCCCCGTGAGGGGGGGGGGGCTTTGATATTTTCGGGGGGGGGGGCGGACACTGATATAAGTATATATTTTCTATATAAATTCCATTTCGTTCGGGGGGGGGGGGGGGGAGGGGGGTAGACTTTCTCCCCGAAAAGATGCCGGGAAGAAACTCTGAATAAAATGTCTGAAAGAAACCCTGCATCTTTAGCGAAAAGTAGTTCAGAAATTTATATTTCCTGTAAAACAAGATTACCTACCCCTTACTCAGGCAAACGATGCTCAAGCGCTCGATTGTAAGAGTAAATTCGTTCCATCGAGCAAATAGAGAAACCATGTTAAGCATACGTTATAAATATTATGAGTTCTGACCTTAAAAGGTGAACAGCTTGGAACAGGAAGGAAGAAATAGGTCAGAGTTCTTATGTCTTGGGTAATTTGAGTAATTTCATTGAGGTTTGAAGATATGGTGTCATAGGTCAGGGGCATATTGGACGGGGTGACATGACCCAAAGGGCGGCAACTCAATTTAAAAATCGCCATTTTTTACTTTTTTTCATAGGCGGTGTATAAATACATTATCAAGTCCATGAGGCAAATACGAGGAGAGGAAGGGAAGAGTTAATTAAAGGGTATAATTATATATAGTTATTAAAAATGTATACACAAGCAAACACATATACACACGCATGAATACGACATTAAAACAGCCATGAGAAGGGGGTCGGCGTGGTCGAGTCGGTAAAGCTCATGGTTGCTAAACCGAAAAGTCTCGAGTTCGAACCCTCGTTATCTGGGGAGAGACAACTCCAAAATTAAACAACTGCTGCCTTGTAGTTTGTTCTTGGTTGGACAAAGGCTATGGAAGTAAATCCAAAAACGAAAATCGGAGTCAAAGGCCTCAATGGCGCATAACCAGTTGACACGTATCCTTAATTGTGTTCGAGTCGGCAAAAAAAAGCTTATGGTTGATACATTCGTAAAAGTCTCGAGTTCAAACCATCTGGCAGATAAGGCTCGATCCCTTCCAACACTAAAAATTAAAAATAAAGAAGAAGAAGAAGAGCCATAAGAATTTTGGATTCTTGAACTTTTCTTATAAAAATTTCATAGTTGTGTATAAACATCTCGTATAGAAGCAGTCTTGTACCTCAAAAACAAATAAAAGTATTTTTAATAAAGCGGGAGTGATCTCCTCTAAACTTTATCTATTTATATATATATATATATATATATATATATATATATAATTCTCTTCTTGGAGATCAAGGTCTGGTGAGCTGTGGTTCACGCTTAATGTTTACAATCGTAGCGCTGGGTTTAGGGATAATTTAGTTTGAAACGATTTTAAACTTAGGGGAGGTAACTAAGAGGAGCTTGCTTTCACGGGGGGGGGGGGGGGGGGGGGGGAGGGGAATCGTGTTCACAGACACACAGACAAGATTGTAAAATTAAGTTTTTCCGACTCACGGAGGTATAAAACGATTTCGATTTTTTTTTGCACCATTACAAACTTCCTCTATACTCCGTATACGAGAAAGCAAAAAAAAAAAAAAAAAAAAAAAAAAAAAAAAAAAAAAAAATTCTTTTAAACAAGTCTTCCAAGGCTACTGATCCAGACATTAAAGTTGTTGAGAATGAAGGAAGGTAACGCAAAAAAAATCGGGTGATGATGTGGAAGATCACATGACTTCAAAATCTTTTAAAATGCATAAAGAAAACGAACAAGATTCGATGTAATTATTGACATTTTAAACTATTCATCTGAATATGAATTACACTTTTTAAA